GACAAAAGTGTGAAAAAAGCTGTTAGTCTCTATTCAGATATTACAGCTAAGTCTCAACAAACTGTTCTGAAAAATCTCAGAAGTTCAGAAACAACCAAAGAAGTTGTCCAGTAGGTACAACGTAACATTGATGCAGATAGGGTGGAGAGAGAAAGAAAGAAGAAAAATGTTTGCATCCTGAAGGTACCGGAAAGCACCAAAAACAGTGTCAAAGATCGTGAAAAAGAAGACATCGACTTTTGCATCAACTCACTTGAGATGGAAAAGGGAGACATTGTGTCCTGCTTTAGAGCTGGCAGAGTCAATAAAGACATACCAGAGTACTGCAGGCCCCTTATTGTCAAACTCTATGACATAGAAGACGTAAAGTACTACACGAATGGAGGGAGAGGAATCCGGTCAAAGAGTGGTCATTGGATGAACGAAGATTTGTGCAGAGCTGACCGTAAGGCAAATTTTCAAGCACGGGAGGAAGCAGAGAAGAGGAAAAAGCAGAAGAACACAGAGAAGAGTCAGAAGATCGAAGAGAAGGAAGCTACAGTTGCAAAGGAATAAGCATATTGTATACTAATGCTAGTGGATTCTTTAACAAAATAGATGAAGTAAAATGTTTATTGATGCTAAACAAGAACATTGATATTATATGTGTCACAGAGACACATTTTGATAATGATATTTTAGATGCTGAAGTTCAAATTGACGGTTACACAATTTTTAGAAAAGACCGTGACTTTAAAATTGAATCTTCTAAAAAGGATATTAGTTCTGGAGGAGGGTCCATCATTTATGTTAAGAATTATATTAATTCATCATTAGTAAAAGAAAGTTGTAATGCACTTGATTCTTTAGCTGTGTTAATAGATACTGCAAGTGGTAAACTTTGTATTGGATGTATTTATAGATCACCATCTTTAAATTCTGACCAAAATTTAAAATTAATTTCTTTTCTTAAAAATATTTGTAATGTTAATAATGATTTTGAAACACTCCTGGTAGGAGACTTTAATTTACCAGATGTCTCTTGGGAGACTGGTTGTGTAAATGGAGGTTTGGTCAGCACTAATAAGTCATTCTTGAATCAAGAAATCTATATTGATATGTTTAACGAAGCAGGGTTGTCCTGGTATTTTACTACTGAAATAACAAGGCGGAGGGTTGTAAAGGATAGACTCCAAGAGAGTCTGCTGGATCAAGTACTTTCCACCAATGATGCACTTATTAATAAATGCACAGTGCTGTCCCCGATTGGCAAAAGTGATCATGTCAGTGTGGTAGTCGATCTAAGTGTTTCTGTAGATTCAATTAAATGTAAAGAGAAGATTCTGAAACCATCATGGGGTAAAATAACTAATGATGATATTTTAAAGTTTAGTATTGAAAATATTAACTGGGATTTTAGTTGCTCTAATGATGTTCAGCTTATGTGGGATGAGTTACATGGCAAACTTACAACTGTTGCTGGGATAGTACCGACTAATTCGGTCTATAACAACAACAGACCTGTGAAGCTGCCATGGGACACATCCTCATTGAAGCGCATGAGAAAGAACAAAGATAAAGCATGGACTGCATTTGATATTGAACCTACTATTGTTAATCTTAGTCATGCAAGTAGTAAACAGCTCATATATGAGAATGAGGAAGTGAAAGCAAAGATAAGATATGAGAAGAAGATAACTTCCAATTTAAAGATCAATTGTAAATCATTTTATTCTTATTTGAGAAATAAGAGAAAGGTTAAAGCTTCGGTACCAAGTTTAGATAAGGAAGACAGATAATGTGGTATCAAACAGTAGATGCAGTAAAAGTAGCAGTAAAATGAAGAAAGTCCACAGTTCTTTTCTTCCGGAGAGGGTGAGACCATATTGGAACAAACTCCCCTCGGATGTCAAGAATTGTGGGACTGTGTTAAGTTTTAAAATAAGATTAGAGGCTTTCAAAAAAGAGACTATTTTAAACGGATCCGTAAATGATATTCATTTTTGGTATGTTTCGGACGAAGTATTAGGAAAGATTGAGGGATTAAATTATGCTACTAATAAAGAGAAGCACAATGAATATCTTGTGTGTCATCCTCATGTTGCTAAGAAACGCTTTATTAACTTATATAGTAGTGGAAAGTATGTAGATTAGATTCATTTTATCTTGGTTGTTTAGGCCAATAGATTTAAGATATTTTTAAAACTTTAGTAGATATATTTTTGATGATGTGTGATGATGTTTGTGTCATTATATTTTGATTTATGATTTATGATTTATGATTTATGACCTCAAAGCTCGTCTTCTGGGGGATGAGGTTGAAGGAAATGTCTTGCAGTTCAAGATGCTGGGCCGTTGATCTTCCTCTGATTCCTCTTAGTGCAATGAGTGTACTTCTTAACAGATCAAATCTGAATCGTGTTCTGATATGATTTTTTGACTTGGCTCTTGGCTTCTTTTTTTATTTTTTATTTTTATGGTCAGCTATCATCTCAGAGACACGATCTACAAATACAGTGCATAGCAGTCCCATACCTCCAGAGGTTGTGAAGACTAGAGGGACACTCATGAATATCACGATATATGATAATTATAAATTAGCTTTTATATCAAACTATCCACTTTTAAAGTTCTTGCAACGTTTTACAAAGCACTGCTATCTGACTGACCAAATAGTGGTTTTATTTATAACATAGAATTAAGTTCGAAATAACCCTGTCAATTTATCCTCGGGCCAGTGGTCTGACGGAGTCAAGTCAAACAGAACTAATCATAACAACAAGAATATTTAAAACTAGTCTGAATGGTGAATGGGAAAATTTACAACTTGTTTGTTTAGACTATACAATTATTGTATGTACGTGCGTGTGCTGTGTATGTCAATTCCTAACCAATTTTATTGAAATCTTATGAATAGCTTAAAGTAGCGCTCGATTTTGTCATAATTTTTTTAAAAGTTTAAAGTGCGCGGCGTCCAAAGAGTGCGCGGCGTCCCAATTTTTTGATTCTATAAACCGATTTTGAATACAAAAATGTTTAATAATTTCATTTAAATTAATTCAAATCAAATCATAATGAAACAAAAATTATTACGTTACACGTTTCCACAATCAATAGTTTTTAGAAAAATTTATAAATTAAAATATTATAAATATAATTATATATTATAAATTTTAAATATTCACCACTAATAACAAATAATAACAAGTAATTATTGTATTAAATATTGCACAATTACAAAATAATTTTGTAACATTTTTGACAAAAATTAAGACACGTAATAATTTTTGGGCGAGCAAATTAATAAAAGCCATTTTGTTTACTTGGAGGACTTCGCCGCTTCGACGCGCCGCGCAAACTAGCATTCTTCATGCTTCGCATCGAAATTGATGACGAGATTGTTGCTCTGTTGATTTGCAGAGCAACGATCTGGAAGGACGTTGACATCGTCAATCAGTAACTCTAGCTAACTCTCCCGAAGCAGGACCTAAATTGTGCTCAAGAAGAAAGGAGAGTCTCTGTAGGACGACTTGGTTTGTGGGTAGTCTGGAGTCAGGGATTCTGTCGAGAAGCTTTCCTATCAATGGAATTTCTTTTCTAGGCTTTCTTCGCTTTCCTTTGGAGGTAGACATTGTTGGTTGACTGATAATTACTCATCGTTTTTAGTTCTTTTAAACGTTATTGCCGGTGTCAGCACTTATCAGGGTTTACTGGGCCGCGCTCAGCCTGTCATTCCGCCTAATCTCTATTCGTTTGTTGTTTACCAACATTAAAGCCTGGGGTCCTCAGGTAAATCAGGGTTTGTTATGTGACTCTTGGACGCTACAAGGATGTCAAGAGCCAGATCTTGTTCAAAATTCATGGTGTCCATGGTGTCAACGGTATCTTTCGGCTCACATTTGTGGACCTTGTTAGTCATGTTATGCTGATCCAGTTAGTGACGAGCTATGAAGTAATCATTCGATCTCATTAATACAGCTGATCCTATCAATGACGATCTATAGAGTTATCAAATTTTAAACCATGTTCAAACGAAATGCTTGGGTCACATTTATAATCGAGTAGTAAGTCTCAAAGGGTAATGAAATAAACGCTTTACTAATTACAACTTTTAAAATTGCAAAGCAACAATATGTAGTGTATGTTTACAGCACACTACCATGTAGATCTGTACTGAAGGGGTACCTTAAAGAGATTCCTGATTTTTTTGGCAGGTCCCCTTCTTTGACCTTCAATCATGTTTCCAATCATTCGGCTGAGTCGAACAAGTAGAAAGATTCAATGGATCCTTAGCTACTCCCTAGACTAGGTGACATTGGGATTGTAACCTTGAACCTTCTTCATAGAAGGTGAAAGCTCTAGCCACTAAGCCAACTAGTCTCCAATATGTGGTCCCTAAGCTGCTGTTTTACATTACTTAGGCTTAGTTGACTGTAAATGTCTCTAATGTTATCAAATCTTGAATACACAAGTTCTAAAATATTCTAGGTTGTTTTATCTAGTGGACATGGAATTAGATTGTCAAAAATTAATTTTCTTGCCTCTGCACTGTTATAATGAAACTTCCTGTTAAGCAATTTAATGATTTCATCTTCATTAAGTCAGTTATAGTATCTAGAAACTAAGTTGGTATATTTAAATCAAAGAGAGGGACTATTCTAGCTTTTAATATGTTTTAAAGCACTTTCTTCAATGAAACACCATGTACATTCCCCTTAAAGATCCACACAGCAGATGCTTTTCACTATATATATACGTTACAGTTAAATAGGTGTGACATACTATTATATTCTTATAATTATATCATATGAATTGATTGCACTGCTAATAAATAAAATACTTTGTTTTACTATAATATAAACCGATACATATTATGAGTACTGTAATTAAACAAATCCCATGTAATCAAGTTATTACAATTGTGTTTTTTATCTAAATTTCATCAATGATAATTTCTCCAAGAATTAGGAAAATTCTCATTAAGTTATTTACTAACTAAATACTGTCCTATTCCAAGCAGTCAGATGTATGGCTGATGAATTTACATGCTGGGTGGCCGTCGTTGGCCTCCCAAGTTTCAGTTCAAAGGAGAATATTGGTCCAGGAAAATCATGTCTTTGCAACCGATTTATGAGGTAACATTGACTTTATCGTCATTTGCTAATTTTTTCATGTGTTATCAACTTTATATCTTTGTAATGTGATCATGTTCAAACCTTCTGATCTAAGTCAAATAATCATTGTTTAGATTACAATAATGATAACATAATATATAACAGTGCAGCATGTGACTGTTCCGGTTCTCATCTTCCTAAATGATACAGATCTTTAACTGTATGTTAATTGTTCATAATCATAATGTAGTTACTATGGTTATCTTTAACATGTGCTTGTATTTCAGATCAAAGGAAGATGAATATTCAGATTACCATCCTTCTGGTGTCTCTAATCAGGACTTCTGTGGTCAGATAATAAATAATGAAAACTTCTTATACTGGGGGTATACTAAAAGGACATTTGATAACTGTAATTGGGGATTAAGAATCATAGAACACACCCAATTTTATGATGACAGTAATTTCAAAGCTTTTGGTGGGAGTGAAACCTATCTGAAACGAGCGTTGAACCCAAAGATCAATACTCATGGCCCTAAGTATCAGTATATTGATTATGATCAGCTGGCATTTGGTGATAAAGATTCCCGCTCTGAGAAATTTCCTTGTGAAAAAGCAGAGAAGGTTGTGATTGATGCGTATATTTATGTGTTTGATGTTTCTAGGGAAGATGTTCATTTTGTTGAACAGTACAATATGTTCGAGTCATTCGTCAAAGGGGTCAAAAAGCCCTTAGTTCTGGTTCTTTCAAAATATGATGAAATGCAATGTAAACATATTGATGCAATAAAGAATCTGACCATACGAAATAAGGCTCCTGTGGTTGAGATTTCTTCTCATGACAACATAAACATCAACCTTGTTTTCCATCTTGCAGCAAAGTTAGCCAAACAGGGAAATAAAAGTACTTTAAAGAACTTTGTCACACCATCATATGAAGAATCCTTTAAAATCCTGAAAGAAAAGCGCACTGAAGTATCAAGAATGTTTAATACTCTTACTGAAAAGTCAGTCATTGACAAGAATGTGACATGGTTTGAATTCATGCAATTCTGCAAGGAAAACAAGCATTTTCAGAATTATTGTGAGTTGTATGGAACAAAGAAGGCTAAGTCCATTTTAGACCGACACATAAGAAATTTGACAATCAAGCTCAATGAAAAACGAAAAAATCTTTATCTTAAAGATCTGAAGACCGTTTTTGGTCATTTCATTGGTAGTTTGAACCTTGCCGATCATAAAGTTGCCATTCAGTTTATCAGAAACCATCCTGACTTTAATGAGTATTTTGTTGCTCTATCAGATGAGAAATCTTGGAAAGATATGGGAGTGCAACATTCCCCAGAAACGAACAGAATTCTTATACCACTTGATTTACTCCATGAGCAGGAAGCAATCATTTGCTTTGATCACAGAATCGCCAAGTTGCAAGAGGAGCAGGATGAAATAGATCTGGCTGACGAATTTGAGCGGTCTCTCACACAAGCTAACAACATTCTTCCTGGCCTGAGTTTAGATGATGTACTTAACTGTGTTGATGAAAAGTTTTCCAAGTTGAACAGAGCGAAAAGTAAGAGTATTTACAACGATCACCAGCTTGTCATCGCTAAACAGTACGAGAAAGAGTTAGAGGAAATGTTGTTGGAGAACACTGACCTGTTTAGAATGCAACTTCCTGGGTATGACTTCATGTTAACTGCCTTAAACAGTTTTTATTGATTGCTAGAAAACTCGTGAGTTATTTTTTGTTGGCACTAATCTTGTAATAATGTAAATTTTGCATAACTTTACAATATCTTTATTCCCAGGGGTGACCTTAAGCCAGACGCTTTACAATCTTTAACTAATGGCCTTAAAGAAGATGTGAGGTGGACCAACTTTTGTCACATGGAGAGCAAGAGGGACTGTCTTCTTCTCCAGCACCTTGCTGTAATTGTCAAGGGAACCAGAAACCAAATGGAGCTGTCTAGTGTTGAGAAGCGGTACAAGTCTGTTATTGTCGAGAAAACTATGGCGTAAGTATTTTCCTTAATGAGGATTGTTTTTCCCTGTAATTCTTCTTTTAAGTACGTGGTTTTGCGGGTATTTTAAATACTAAAATTCTAAATGCTTGCGAAATCGCACTGCATTGTTCTCGAATCACAGATCAAACATCACTAATTAAAGATAAACATCTCCACGAATTCAATGGTCATTGATTCAGACATTGAATAATGAATATGTACACGTCACACCTGGGCCATCTGCAATCTGCATCAGTCGCAGCAGGAGTCTGACCTTTATATCTGCAATCTGCATTAATCGCAGCAGGAGTCTGACCTTTAAATCTGCAATCTGCATCAGTCGCAGCAGCAGTCAGACCTTTAAATCTGCAATCTGCATCAGTCGCAGCAGCAGTCTGACCTTTAAATCTGCAATCTGCATTAGTCGCAGCAGGAGTCTGACCTTTAAATCTGCAGCCCTGTAAGAGCCCGCTGTACACATATTCTTATATATAATAATCTTACACTGCACTGTACCTGCATTATATCGTATTTCATAAGAGTGGGGGTGATAAGTGTAGTGGTGATAAGTTTAGTGCAGGATTCTCACTTGCTACTTACAACTTATTATTAACTCGTTTATTAAGGTGTAGGTAACCTGCTCATATAATTATATGTAAATCAGCACGTTGAGTGTGTGCCCGAAATTATACTTTGAAACCTGATCTACAACTCCGACCCGGTTTTCTGGTGTGAAACACGTGCGGGGTTATTTACTAAAGCCGGCCTAGTGGTGTGCTACTAAAAGTTAAGTTTGTTCCCAATTAACAACTGTACACTAGTTAAGTACACTAAATAACATAGTTAAAGTAAGGAAAGTAATGTCCTGTATCCCGTTAAGTTCTTGTATTATAAAAATAAGTTTATTATTCTACCCTACGGCCACCAGGAGAAAATATCTGAATTCCTACTTAAAGTAAAGTCCTGTACTTATACTTGTATGAAAGTAAAGTTTAAATTTGGTTAATATCACATCGCACTTTCAGGAGAAAGGAACTGGGTTACTCGAATACACTGAACGTTGGGGACGAGGAAGTGGCAGTAATCGTTATGTCCGGCTGCACCGACACCGCTCAGAGATGGGCTGATAAAATATCCCAGGTTAGTACTTACTCATGAGGAGTGTTGCTAAATATATTAAATGGGAGTTATGAATGTGTCACTTTAAAATGATCATGTCATATATCCTGGTTTCTCATTCCTAACATAGCATTTAATTATGTTTATATATAACATCGCGGGTGATAATTATAAATTTAAAGGCTTTTAGAAGAACAAGATATTAAAATGTGGTCGATGCTATTCCAGGAGAGCTGTACAAAATACTTAATACCTATTCGTATTCTTTTCACAGTAGTAATATGACATTTAACATCATATATAATATTCGTTTTATGTTATGGAGTTTTATATTAACAGGAAGCAATGTAACAGAAGCAATATATATAATGTAATGTTGCCATGGGGCGGCAAGTCCCCATACATCGCCGCCCGCTAGTTTTACTGCCTCTTAACATGTACATGGGAAGTGAAACCAAGGCTGTAAACTGTAAAGTGTAAAAATCATTTAAAATTTGACAAGTACCCACGAATTTGAAATGACAATGGTATGTCAAAGCTAAGTGAAACTATTCGTTGGATAATTCTCAATTAAACTTCGTCTGATTAGCTTGCTACACGCTCCTAACTCTCTTCACTAAAAGCTTCTTTTCACAAAAAGATCACCGACCTGTGTGACCTACTTTACACAAACTTACAATCTATTTTTAGGATTGTCTAAACTAACTGCCCCCTCTTCAGGAGTGTTCCGAGGTGACGGTTGATGACGTGTCCTACACTGTAGCGGTCACTGCTCGAGACCCCGACAATGTCGAGATCTTCCCCGATTTTCCTATTCATTGTAAGAGCTTACATCTTGTGCATGATGATTTGCCGACTGTCGGATGACATATGACAGACTTGTTTACAAACAAACCGACAGACAAACAATAAACATGAAACGACCCAGACAAAAAACATCATGCTCAGTGAGATAGGTCTCTTACATCATGCCACCATGACGTCATGTCAGATGATTGCATTGGATGAAGTGTACTGACTTGGCAGGAAAACTGGAGATCAGGTATGATCCTGTGTTGACTCAATTTGTTGTATTACTCTGTACATAATGAGTTTAGTACCGGGAGCTACCAGCTATCCACCGTGCTCGAAGCTACTACAATACAGCTTTAATCTCAGAATGAGCATGTTTTGGAACATTTGTAAAAACCAAGATCAGCTGTCAGACTTTTTTCAGAGAAGAGGGAGAATAAGAATGTCCTCCCCTTTAGCTTTGTCTATTGTTAGGTGTTGGGATTTTCAAATCGAGGGCGGCTTACTAATTTTAAACCTACCCAGAGGCTCCCTCGCTTTGCTTGCATTTGATTTTCTGCCACCATGATCATTGATCGTACGAACAATAGAGTATCATAACCCCACCCTACACAACCAATTAAATATTCATACAGCATGTTAATACCCTGTAGTATTTAGTCTGGAGCCACCCAACTCTCATCTCTAACTGCCGTTATCTGTCGCTGCTTCAGAATCAGGGCTTATGTTTATTACCACTCCGTTCCGCCTTCTACTCATCTTTATTCATTTAACACCTGTCTTACTTTGATCATAATCTTCTCTGTACTAGGGATTAGGGAACCATTAGATCCTCATGTGTTTACCTTAGAGGCAGGAAAAGCTATTCTCTCTTCAGCCTAAAGTTTTAAAAAGAAATAAAAATCACGTACTTAAGCATTGTTAAAGATGCAAGCTGATCTTGTAATAAAATTGCGGGGAATGTAATTTCAAGCAAAGAAAAGTCTGCGCCTTAAGGACAGGAAGGCCGTGCAGTAATTGATGCAAGCTGCCACACAAAACTGTGGACAACTCTGAGACTGACAAGACAGATCCATTATAATGATGATAATATAGTAATGTGTTGCTTCCTAGTCTTTTGTTATAAACTGTTCTCATCTCCAGAGATGGACAATGGCCGCTAATGCAATTGTTTGCAGACAACAAAACATTGTAAACAATTATAATCCTGCACAGCTCACTAGCTGCAGCTTGTAAATTTGTGGAATGCTTTAGGTTTTAAAATTTAGGTTATTTTATCTAACGGAATTGAAAAATTTTAAATCGAAAAGTTTATCTGTTGTAAATGGTACTTAACTAATTTACTTATTATTACTAATTAATTTGCTTATTTCAGTGATAATTGGTGTTTACCGAACAGATGACTGGGACTCATTTAGAACAATAACCCGATCTTTTGACCGAATACAGAAGAGTTACAGAGGGTTACCGTGTCAGATAGTTTACATACCTTCAGATAACCAGACTGTTACAGAGGAGGAGGGGTCCCGCTTTGCTCACAGGTGGGTTATTTGTTTACTGTGGGGTGGGGGGGGGGGGGGTTAATAGTCAGCTCTTCTGAAACGGGGGGGGGGGGGGGGGGGGGGGGGGGCGGGGGCTCTTCAGCTGTAGGCTTTCACAAAAAAAAACTAACAATGAATATGATAATTAAGCTATTATATTGGAAGCTATAAACTCTATTTATAGCTTATTGAAAGCCTAAATTTTCTTTGGAATGTTTATCGAAATTTCAAACTAAAAGTTCTTTGTGGTCGATAAAAGCAATTAAATGTTTAAATTCCACGTCTAAATTTGAGCATGTGGCTAGATTTGGCTTCTATACAAGTCATCATAATCTTTTCAAAATTTTGTCCACGTGCCTGACAGAAAATATGAACCTATATCGCTCTGGGAAAATTAAATATGTTAAAAGTTAACACAGTAAACTTTTTTATTTTATACATTACTATAGCTAATTATGATCTGGTTTACTCCAGTTATATATCTGTCTCTGGAAATTGGAAACCTTATCAAAATGGAAACATGAAAAGTTGCTGGATGAATTCTGTGAAACTACCGTTTACTGCCTTAAAAACTTCACTGATGCAAATTAATTCGTTCAGCTCCTAACTTCCCACTGAACAATTATGAACACTTTTTTCGGCGTCTTTGAGGACTTATTATTATCAGATTATCGAACACTAACTTTAACCTTAAAAATACATTCATCGTCTTAGTCGGTGTTGAGACACACAAATATAAAGTTACAGGGAATATGATAATTGTAATTTAAACCACTAAATTCAGGTCATATGTAAAATCCTATTGATGACTTAGAATTATTTACATCTACTCACAGTAAAATTTCTTCAGTTTGTTTTTGCAAAAATCACGTCCACTCTCTAAAAAGTGACCTGATGCCATTAAAAATTCATTATTTTGTCAACAACATATATATATTTTGAAGGTATAGTAAAAGGTCATGCTTACCAATAACACTAATATAGTGACTGTCGCTATTATATATTTATTAACAGTATCGAGTTATCCAGGTTGAACTGTGAGCTGATATCTGAAGACACGCTTCAGGAGACTATCAGTTCAGTTCTAACTAGCAACATTGCTCTGATACAGACAAGATCTGAGTTTATAGAGACTCCTTCCAGCGCTAACAAAACTGTTTTAAAGTAAGGAAATTAAAGATAACAAAATGTATTTAAAAAGTTATAGTTATATTAATTATAATCATAAGAAATCAACGCAACGCTAAAATATTGTTATGCATTGTGGCTATCGAACTTTAAAAACGAGGTTTGTCATGTAATTGTCATTTGAACGGGGTGATGACAAGGCGCTGATTACTAAGTCCGATTGTTGGAACTTTTAAGACTTCCATGAGTCACTCTATTCGGCTACAAGATTGGCAAAATCCACCCATTGTAGAAGTTGATGAATATTTTGATTTACAATAGTTACGATCTAAACTGGCTGAATAAATTTATAACCATTTAAGATAAAGTCTATTAAACTTGCACACTATCAATATTTAAACACACTATACTATAATCTCCCTCAGCTTAACAATAAGAATGTTGTATGACGACGACACAAGCCTGAAGGAGCTAACAAACTCCCTGTTTAAGTTCCAGTACTGTTTCGTGCACCCCTACGAGCCGGGAGTGTTCGTTCTTCACACCTTATTGAATGGAGTTCCAGTCTTTGTTATGGTTCACCTGCTCCATTATCTTGGTAGGAATGTTACATTATCTTGGTAGGAATGTTACATAGTAACATATTATTTATCATTATTATCAGTATTCAAATTTATTAATACATTTATATTTAATATTATTTATCGTTAGACATTGGCTGTAAGAACACCTAGTCGTGTAGAATAAAATATGTGTTTAATGTTGTCCAAACTAGACTTTTCCGTCGGATTCCTCAAAATGCAGGTCTAGTTGTAGTCTGCACAATCCGACCTAACTTATCACAGTGTCACGCCTTAATTAGCACACGTTACACTACATCTCGCTACATCTACTGTATCTACCGTCAAATCGTGGTCAAGGAAGTCATCGTGCATCATCTTCAATTAACAACTCATCCTTCAACCTCGCTAATTTTACTCTACACTTAACACTACTAGTTGTGTCTTGAATTATAAATCAACAAGTTTGGTTCCTGTAATTCCAATTTGCTGAACTCCAGAACTTACTTGTATATTTTATCTGGCCACATTCCAAGTATAGATCTGTAACAACATATCTCATGTAATACCTATAAGTTGCGTAATATCATTTGCCTGTAACATAATATATTATATATATATAATGTATGGTATATAATATTATGTATGTCATAGTTATTATCTTATTATGTGTCTAAATCAAAATTATCATCTCGGGCCCACCTGACCATGTCACTACTTTCCATATAAGTTATAAGTATAAGCTTATACTAACTTATTATAATTACAAATCACCTACGCAAGTTAGGTCTCTCTTGGACGGTCCCTCTGTCCACACCCCCCCCCCCCCCCCAGGCACCCACTCTCCATCTCTCCCCATATTCCTCACTCCCCTCCCCCCTTTCAATGATAAGAGCTACAAATACAGTGCACCAGGTGGACTCAGAGTAACGCTATATCCATTTATCAGACGTTCAGGCACCTCTAATAGCTAATACTGCATCTCTAACACTGCAATACTGATATTATATTCGGGGGGCACCCTGAATCCCCACAATGTGTGAGCTCTGTTGTACCCTCATTATTATTACACACGTACAACATGTATCAGTGTTGTGGGTGTGAGAGATTGGGGTGTCTACTGAAAGTAGTCATCTCTGGGAGTGTGGATTATTGAGTGTGATCCTGCAACGTTTGTATCACAACTCATTCGTAGTTATTATCAATATTGTTATAACGTCTATAGCGCACAAATCTATGTGCTGTCATGCAAATTTATTGATAGATTGTGATGTGTTCACCTCAGTGACCACCGCTCAATGTATTACCACCTAGATTAACATTCACCAGAATAAACTCCTGCAATAACCGCAAGATCCCACTAATTATAATCAGATATATATATATCGCCGCCTAACTTTATATCGCTACTAAACACAACATTTAATAATATATAACTCATTACATAATAACAAATAATAACGTAACACTCCAGTAGAGGTGGTTGCCAGAGTAACAATTTACAAATTCTCACCACCCCCAGATAAAGAGTCCTACACAGAGCATGGCTGCGTGCTAGTCTGCAAGGATTCCCGGCGAGCCTCCCTAGAAAATGCCAGGTATGTCGATTGTCGGGTATGTGAGATTTCAGAACGTGAAATTCAAACCCAATTCCGGGTTGCTGCGGAGGTGAGTGTAGATATATATTATATACGGAATATATTATATACTGCATACTTAATTGATAAGTTATTCAGGAAGAGTGAGTCGGATCAGGTTAAGTTTGAGTAAATTGTTGTTGATTTTAACACGCAGTTTAATCGTACGATTCAGGTAACATCCATAATCCATGCATTATTTATTGTAGTACGGGTATAATAATAACAACATCAGCATAACAGAGCTCATGAATACTGCATCTTGTTTGCTACCTACATCTTGTTTGCTACCGGGTTGCTACCCGTACCCTTAAACAAAGCTTCAGTACACAACAGTACGAACCTTATATTATACTCATAACACACATGAACTCCTTATGTCATTATCATCGAGATTATCATACACACACTGAAGGAGGCCTCCCTTCAACCGCGTAATTTAAATATATTACGCATATTTTGTATATTGAGAGCAGCTCCAGCTTCTCATAATACGTGCGGTAATCCTAATTATCTAGTTAAGCTAGGCAGTAATTGAATTACACATACAGGGAGTGTTGGAGGGGGCTAATCTTTCAGCTGATAAATTGTTCTTCCTTATCAATCATTGTAGAGCATACAGTTTGTGCGGACTTCTTAATTCTTATCAAGACCGGGGGTAAGGTCTAAACCAGCGGCGGGGATATTCTTAGAATATTCGGGATAATTTAGAGCGGCTGAATATCGTGTGAGTGTGTAAAACGTGAGGATTTGTAATTCTTAGGAAATATTGAGTAAAGGTGATCTGTATGTGGAGTTAATGTAAACTCCTCGTGAGTAGAGAAATAAAATAAATTCTCTTAATGTGGTAAGGTATTTGCAAGCATTGCAGTGATAATATTAGTACGATGCTTGTAAATACCTGAACCACATTAAAGTGAAGTTATTTTATTAGTCTAATTTTCAGTATTCACAGGTAAGCATGACACTTGATAATTGAAATGCTTAAATAAATAATAAATAAATTCTAACATTTATTACACGCTTCGACATTAAAAATATACCCAAAGAATATGTTCATATTTTAAGACCTTCAAGCGAGACTTAGTATGGAAATAATAGAATCATGCACGCTATTAAATCATTTCAGATATTATCAGGTAGCAAATTGCTATAACAGATAGACTAATTGCTACATTGGCAGGTACTACATGACGGAGAACAACGTATCCCGTAGTCTGGGTCTAGTAGTGGTCCAGACCCCCAACTCTCTGTCTTACACGTCTGCCATCACCCAGACAGCCATCGACCTTGGAATTCAGGTGAGTGTGTGAGCTGTCAACTGAGTTAAAGTCTGATGAGTACCTAGTAGAAGTATAGTTAAATCATTTATTCGGGGGTTTGATTTTAAACGATCTCTGAAGATTGAAGGGGTATAATAGCCCGTAGTACTGCTTATCATTGACGTGCAATATGACAATGGGTGACGCTCCTTTTTCTGACACCAATAAACACTCTGTCTGTATTATAGTAGGTGTTCAGTTGTATTCGGTCGCTGATTGGTTAAAAATTATCACGTGCGGTTGTATTTGTTCCCTGATTGGTTAAAAAGCATCACGTGTAAAAAGTCTCGTGTTCGTCCCTACAGTAGTGAATTCTGGAACAGTAGAGTGGACAAATATCTTTTGGGCGATATATCACTTATCAACGGAGCTCTATAATAACAGGGGTTTTGCAACTCTCTTGCAGATCTTGGAGATGTTGTGACGCAAATTGTTTGAATACTGGGCAATGGTCTCTCTAAGTGAAAACTAATGGAAGGAAATGTAGTTTTGTTCTCTTTGTTCAAATGTTTGAATGAGTTGACGATGGATTTAGATATAATAATAATGATGACATATCTTGTAAATATTAAGTATTTTATTATCAATTTGTTGAAATTCAAACGCGAACGTATGATCACGAAACTGTTGCATCAGTTAATTCTTCGTTGCCTAGGTTTTCAAATTAAGAGATTAATTGCTTTCATCCTCCCGGTTTTTCCTGGCGTTAACATTCAATTCGTATGAATGTGATGCGAAACAAATTACACCAAATTCAACCATAGTTATATAGTTTTGAATGACATTGTATCTTCGAGTTTAAAACGAAAAATGCCCATTTACAGTCGCCTTTAAATACTATTTTTATATTAGTTCACTGCTAGCTTGAGCTGAATAGTTCTTTATACTTATGAAGTATGTGTACTTGAAGTATAATCTACCACATCAAACACATAACTTTTTTATAACTCACTCTCTTTATTTCACAAAAACCTCAATTTTGTCAAAGTAAAACCTGCCTTTGAATGTACTCAATCGATGAGAACAATAACTACACAGACTATATTCACATTTAAAAATTAAAGCTCATCTAATTAATTAAATTAGACAGTCCACGATGTAAGCTTAACATTAGTTACATAAACACGAACACCCCTCAGTACACAATGTTGGAACAAGAGCAAGCGAACAGGAGGGTCTCAATAGGACAACATACCACAGCAGTAGATATGTTGTTACTCCACGTGTTGCAGCACAGTGTCCAGTTTGTTGGGGACACCCCCCTAGATCTCAGCTTGGAGGTGGATACTAGCGAAGACGAGGGCAGCTTGTGAGTTTTCTTACTGGTTTTTACTTTTCATGCCGTTTCTAGCCATCTTCAGTTGTTAAATTATCCATGTCATATAATATATTATCTCAGATAGGGAAAAAATATATTACACTTTCTGTGCAAGATTCGTATATTGATCAAGCAGAAATATTAATTTTGTTCTAAAATAGTCAAATCAGTTTCATGCGAAGTAGCAAGCTACTGATCAATAAGGAGCTGGATACTTGATAAAGTTCAGTTTCTCAAGTATGATGTAACATATGGAGGCACTAAACTTGAAGCTTTTTTCATGCTCCGTTCATGTAACTAAGTAGCTAAGTAGAAGCATACTTATGAGCGAATCACTTACTGTCCGAATGTCATATATTTACTGTAGTTAACTCCAAATATTGCAAGCCAATGGTGTATCATTTTGTTGTGGTTAAACTGCAACATAATGGTTGTATACAAATGATTCCATACTCCTATCATCAACTTCTAAAGAAGCTTTCTAAAACGCTACATCATGATTAGGCTACAATTTAACTGATGCCCATTGCCCAACCTATATTATCTATGATAGGTTTAATCCCTAACACCTTTGGATTACAGAGCGGAATTTGCTGAAATAGTCTAGATCTAGTCTTGAATAGTCTAGATAGAATTACTGCGCTTGCAAGCTCACTTCCGCAGAATAGGCGGGTACAATAGCTTCTAATTGCTGCCTGGGTGGGTACAATACCTATTAAATACTAAATATACTAATTGCGAATACAGCCTCTGGGATCAACGGGAATATCGTACTGTAATACCAGTAAATAACGATTGCTGCAAGCTGTCTGCGTTCTGTTGCGGATATTGGTAAATAATATGATATGTTAATTACATAATAGTAATTACATAATGAGCCTAATGGGCGGAGATCTGAGGTCATGTAGCGGAATAAATAGTCATGGTTTACTCAGCGCTTGTGTACTGTGATAAGTGATTTGGTTCCAATGATCTGATGAATTAAGCAATTTGCCAATCACGATTTATCACAATCATTAGGTTTCTGAATATCAATTTTCATATAATTACAACTATTCAAGCCTGTTAAATTTAAAACCAGCAGGAAATATACCGTAGTTTAGAATGGCCAATCGCCAATATGCCACAAGATTTGAGGATATTATAATAACACATAATAATAATCGTCGTGTCCGCTGAACTCTTAACTACCGTAAATACCGTGCCCATCAATTAGTACTGTTTATTTAAACAAGCTTATCACTATCGTCAGATTATCACTATCGTCAGATTATCATAAGAACACATGCTATCAGTTTTGAGTTCAGATGTTCTTATCGGTCACACTGTCACAGATAAGCTGTTATGTGTCAACAGTTAGCGCTGTTATGTAACATTAACTCATCCTATGGCTTCTCTGAATCCATAAGATGCTATGACCTCGCAGCTTCGCTATTTCCCAAGTGAATAAGCGCAAAAGTTTGGTAATAAGTGCACAGTATGATTTAAAAGTTCAGGCTCTCGTTGACACAATATTATATGATTATAACAATGATAAATGAATAGTTTTACAATTTGAACTGACGTTTATTACATATTGTAAATTAAACGGTTTTATCATTCTGTTACAGCTGAGTGATTTACTTACTTGATAAGTTCTCATAATATATGACAGCAGCTGATCAAGTGCATCAAGTTCAGACATGACGATATTTAAATTTGACGGTAAATGTTTTCAGCAACGACCTGTCAATAAAAGGAGGAATGCAGCGACACAGGTCCCACACCTTGGACAGACTCGGCTTTGCCTCGCCTCCTCCACATGGCCCGTACGGCAGGTACGAATTATTATTATTAATAATATCTATATAATCAGTATATCTATATAATCAGTTTTTACAGTATCAGTATTTTTAAATAATTTGTGGCAAGCTTGTTAAAATCTGTATTACCACACTGTTTCTAGCAAAAACTTATAATTGCTTCTGTTTAAACATAGTTAGGATAGTTTTCTCAAGACACCTAGTTGGCCTTTAACGTCATTTAACGTCATACTTCAACTCTTAAACAGATATTATGCCAACTAGGGTGTTTTAACTTTGCCATTATTTTTGCCTATAGTTTTGTTGGAAGTATTATTTTTTGCCCTAATAACGACTTTTCTTTACTTATTTCAATATTATCATTGCATGACAACATCAAATCACTAACCAAACTGCTGCGCCTCTTCTCACACCTATGACCTCTATTCTTCTCGTAAAGGGTAGCTTAGGTTTATCGTTGTTTGGGTATAGGACACTAGGGCGTAGGAAACAAGGGCGGTAGACGTAACAGCTGAGGACACTGGGGCGTTACTTTCCTAAAAGGGTGGACACGAGGGCGAATCACATGATTCATTTCAGTAGAACACGAAGGCGGAACAAAAACCGTCCTAAATGATGGTCGTTTTAACTGAGAGGATTGATGGTTTGAAATTGAGTGAACACACCTCAGTGAAATTCGTCTACCCAAAGTAAATACCCGTTTTGGTACGTACTACCCCTGATCTAAACCCGGGTAACCGTAGCGTCAGCGACTGCGATATTTTGAAGGCCAAGTTTGTCACATGAACATCTAGGCAGTGTTTGATCGGTCTAAGTACGTTACCAAACACCAAAATCTGCTGCTGAGTTGGCTGAGATATTTAAGGAAAATCTCTCAATTTTTGGCTCGTTTAAATCTGGGTGATTATTTGTTACATCACTATGTTTTGTTTCAAATTTACACGTGAGTAGATCCAATTCTTCGAGCTAAGCTTTACCTCAACCAGACTGTTGAGAACATTAAAAAACCCGTTTGTCAATGTTAAAGTGATTCATGTGACTCGCCCTCGTGTCCAACCTTTTAAGAAAGTACCGCCCTTGTGTCCTACGCCCTCGTGTCCTCCGCTATTGTGTCTACCGCCCTTGTGTTCTCCGCCCTCGTGTCCGGTTCCCCTATGACCTATACCGTAAAGGGTAGGTTAATGTTTTACCAGAACTTGCTTATTGACCGTCACTATCACTGTCTGTAACCAGCCTGTATTTAAGCTTATAGACCATTTATCTGTAAAATCGATTCGTGACTAGTTAGTAGTTTCACCGGTTAGCATGACCAATTAAATCTTTATCGCTATAAAGTTGGTCTAAACGCCTGGCACGTAGAACATTTAGAATTGTCAGAATTGTCTTTGTTTTTGTTCGCTCTTGATGATTCAGAAAAATCCGGTCTCAACTTTCAGAGTAAAGACACATGCAAATTATGGAAGGGTATCTAGGTTTTAAGTATAGACCATTTAGATGCCATCAGCCTGTTTATGGTTGTGCTTAAGAACAGTAATATTTAGAATTTAGATCAATATCATAAAAATGGTACTTTAATCTGACATACACTCAGAAGTCATCACCTAGTTATATTATATATTATATTGGCTGGCAGTCCTTAGATTTCCGCATTAAAACATAATTACTTATAACTGCGATTAATATCCATTTGGAGATTTTTGATACGGCATGCTTATTTAAAAATGAAACTTATTGCATAACACGAATATCACACGAAATGTAAGAAACCTTACTTGATTTTATTCACACGCCAAATTGATGTGAAATTTGATTGTCACCTTAATCAATCGATAAATTAATTTTGCGTAATAAGGTAATTTAGTTGTATTACATAATACATATATTTAAGTGTTGAACTGTGACAGCCAATAAAAATTCGAAACAGAGGTACCAAATTTTAATTACTGGTAGTTAATATGAACAATTGATGCCTTTTAAGGACAGATAGCTAATAGAAGAAGCCCGGAACAGTAACTGTTAAACAAGTCAATCCGCCGGATTCGTAAATTAAAGCCCCATAAACGGCCATAAATCGAAAATGAAGCACCGCAAGTAAGCCGTATCTGTCAAAGAATTAGCCAATAACTTGTGTTAAAATAAAGAGTTATCATCACTGACAGTTGTCAGACTGGAGAGCTGAAGCTTTGGCTGGTCTGGCAGTGCCCCAATCCAGTTTTAGAGGCTCCCGAAATCTTCCCGAAACCCCTGCCCTGTTCTCGTCATTATTAATAAGTCAAAATAAGAGTTGAAGTCGTATAAGTTACGACGAGAAAATGTCATAAATGAATAATTTGGGGACCTGGTCAGCAAATAATATGACGGGGCGAGTAGTTAAATTACGACAAGTGTTGGGTTACGCGGGTTGTTTACTAACGGTAATTATGTAGCAGTACGAAATTCTCCCCTGCCTCGGCCGAGGTTTTAACTTGTCAAGGCCGTATGTCACGTTCCAGTTTTATTAATCCGTACCAACTGTTTAATATCACCCTCTCTGCTTTTGCGTGCCGGATCGTGCTTCAACCTTGCTTTACCGACCTGTTCGTTTTTTACCACCCAGCGTAAAACACCTGAGTTTTATTTGATAGAGTTGCTTGTTTTAGCCAGCGTGAAATGTAATTGATCCTCACTCCATGGATCCGATCGAGTACGAGGATAACTCTGACGGCGACCTGTCACCGGATGTTTTTAACGCTAACCGTTGTAAAAGTAATTCTAACCGTTTTGCTAAACACGTGTACGAGGTAATACCGGAGTTTGATTTTGATGGAGTTTCGGACCATTTCGATTGTTCTAGCGGGGAGGATTCACCGTTGTTCCGGCAACCGTCAAATGAGAATGATACTGGGGGTTATCTGGCTTTGAACCGTTCTTTCAGAGTTGTTGAAAAGGAACTTATCCACTGTTACTGGTAATTATGATTGATATCGTGTTGATTTAATACGATGAAACGTATATCGTGTTAATATTAATGTGCTGAAATTGATATCGTGTTAATATTAATGTGATGAAATTGATATCGTGTTAATATTAATGTGATGAAATTGATATCGTGTTAATATTAATGTGCTGAAATTGATATCTTGTTAATATTAATGTGATGAAATTGATATCTTGTTATTGTTAATCTCCCCACTATTAATGCGATAAGATTAAACATATAGCACTGAGGTCTTAGATAGAGCTATAGAGGCGATGACGTTGAAAATGTGTTGTTAGCTAGGTCAATCTGCTGATAAAACAATTTCGCGAAACTGAAAATCTTTTTTACTTATTGAGTTTAATTGTTTACTGACATCAGAAGATTTACTGACGTTGTGCCGCATTAAAATTTAAAAGAGGTGCATCTAAAAACTTTATTGTGCCCGAAAGTTAAAAGGTTTACTGATTTAAATGAAGGAGTAAATGAGCATTTTTAACAAGACACCATAAAATTAACTACGATATTTCTCATTGTTTACAAGCCACTAAAACCGTGTACCACATCCTGTTTATATAGGTTCAAAGTGTAAAAATAGTACAAGTTTCAGTGTACATATTATCATTGATGTTTCCATGTACTTTTGAGAATGTATTTTCATCTATGCACAATGTTATTTATGAGGCTAAAATACCATCTTAAAACAATTGGCAAGACGATAGTCACTATCGCACTTAGAAGCTGGATTTAAAGATTTTGTCTGGCAGTTAAATGTCGCAGACTTGTTGAGGTGAATTTTGGAGAAAATAAATTGAAATATAGTTGTACATAGTTCAAACTTGGATAAACAAAACTTAACCAGAAAGTCACGATGAATTACTAAAAAATACGTGAACTAACACAACTAAAATACGTGAACTAACATCTAACACCACTAAAAATACGTGAACTAACACCACTAAAGACATCATCGCAGTTTGCCGGAGAAGTTCAAGAGTTTGAGTGTTAGTTGGAACGAACTACGAGATGACGGTATTGCCAACCACTCCTGGAGTTCCATGCCCAGAAACATGAAAGGTACAGTTCATTTACTGATATATTTCAAGGTTTTGTCACTTATCTTACGATTTATTTGCTCGTGTACTGGAATACTCCCCCTTCGACACTTGAAACTACACGTATTAAACACATTGTGTTTCGAGGTCATCACATAAATAATATAATACATACCTCCTTTTTCAGAGAAAGTAAGCCTAGATAAGACGCCTCCGATCTACTCTATAGTAAACAAGAACAGACAACGAGCTTCCTCTTCATTTGATAACCTAGAATCCGGACCCAAGTCTCCTCCAATTCCACCTCGCCCCGACAGGAATTTCAGTGAGACCAGCAGTGAGGGACCTGATGATAATCAGAACAAGACAGGTGGTTTGGTCACCCATTCACTGTCTGATTCTCCGTTCAAGCCTAAGAGGATTCCTAAGGCTTTCAAACAATCGAAGAAACTTACTGAAGAAGAGGTTATTGTTTATTATGTTTTTACGCTATCGTGTTCAATGGCTTGTCTTGCGTAGTAACTACTAAATGCTATTTCTATATTATTCTGAATGAGTTACAGACTGACTTACTAACTTAAGTCAAGCCTTTTGTTCGACTGTGAAGTTCTTAGGTTGGAGTTATTGATTAAGTTTTTACCGAGTAAATCTCCTAATATTTTGATCTACAGGTTGAACAGAAGAAGTTGGAGAAGAAGAAACGGGAAGAGAACAAGATTAAGAAACGGGAAGATAAGGAAGAAAGGAAGAGAAAAGCTAGGGAACAAAAGCAGGTTAGAATTCTATTGTACGCTTCACGTTATGTAGGAAGATCAGAAACTGGGGCAGTGTTAACACAAATTAACTCAAGATCAACTTAATATTGCATTAACAATAGTAGGTAAAGATCCGTTGGGATATGCGGATGGTGATTGCAAAATTCTAAGCTTGTAAAGGGTTCAGCTACTGGTATAGGTAATTATACTTCAATATTAGAGAAATGATGCACTGAACCCCTCAGATAATTTCTGTGGTTACTTACGAAACACTATCTATTCGAAATATTTCCCTATCACATCACCACCAAATCCTTCTGTCTGATTATAAGTTCCATCAAATAAGGAAGGTCTCTTCGCGAACAGTGAGCCAGCAGAGGGGCTGGCATGGGGCCAATAGGGGGCTGGCATGGGGCCAGTAGGGGGCTGGTATGGGGCCAGCAGGGGGCTGGCATGATATGAGAATTGAGTTTAACACCGCTCGCTTGTTTTTTTGGGAGTCTAGTTGGGATAATTATATCTTGCTAATATAGCTCGCTAAATCGCTAAAATGCATTCTTTTACCAACGAAAGGAAACATGGTGTTTAATGTCTCATGATAGCTGCTCGATAAATTTTTTTAAATATTTTAGGTAAACAAGTTTAAGCTGGTATCATTGCCTCCAAAAAAGGAACCTAATTCTAATTACATTTTCTAGAACTATAATTCTAATAATATGTTCTAGAACTATAATTCTAAATTCTAATAACATGTTCTAGAACTATAATTCTAGAACAATAGTTCTCGAACTATATATTTCTAAAAATGTAATACTTAAATCTCGCCTTCTTAGCTGGAGAAGAACAAGAAAATGCTGGCAAGCTGGGATCCCAAACGAGACATCTCCAACACAAAGTCCTTCAAACAGCAGCCCTCGATAGCTGACTACCACAAAGTGGTTGAAAGTTGTTACTTTGGGCGGAGCTTGGAGGAGATAGCACCTTGGGGAGGGGTACCTTATTATGCTTCCTTGTGTGTGGAGTATTTGGAGTGTCATGATTTGACGATAGAGGGGTTGTATAGAAAAGAGGGAAACAAGCTTCAGATTAACCAGCTTGAAGCTACTTTTGAGATGGGTGAGTTAAAATCGAAATTCCTTTTTAAAGCACTGTACTGTGTTGACGTTTTTCAGATCGTTTAGTTCATTTTCAAAAAACTCCTTTTCTACACATATTAAATTTGTGGTTTGAAAATCTGAAAATCATTCCATTTTTTAACCCCCTTATCAATTTACGTCGTAAAGTCATATCAATAACTCAATTTCAGCGTTCAGCGGTGAAGAAGAAAGCCTGTCCGGGTTCAACCTAGTCGAGTTAGATGTCAGTGTCCACGTGGTCGCCAGTTCCATTAAGAAGTTTTTGAAGCGGCTCCCAACTCCTGTGATACCCCACGAGTTTCATGATCTGCTCCTGGCCGCCGTCGGTATGTAAACTTTGTAATTAAATCAAAACATCACGTACCATCATCTTCTAGGATCACGGATGCTTGGATGTTTGCGCAACTGGTACTAGCGGATATTTACGTTTGATGTGAGGCGCAAAAAAGGCGTTGGGCACTCATTTCACGCGCGTTTTTCTCTTCCAAGTGGCCATAAATAAAACTCGTGCTTTGCATGCTATTTGACAAATTGGTTGTGCTTTCTCTTTAAACTGTTATCTAGCTTGCTCTCAGCTAAACCTTCAACAGAGGTAGGAAATCTAGAAGCAACTGCAAATGCTGATCACGTGGTTCGGAGTCTGGTAAAGGTTCAGGAGATTCTGAATACTTTTGTTAAACAGAGAAAGCTCACCCTGGCGTACATTATCAGACATCTTTCAAGGTATGTTGGTTGTGTGTTGTCTCTGTTGTCTCTTTTATAGAACATGTGCGAAAAGTTAAGCTGGTTTTTAACATAATTGTTAGGATACTATCAAACAATGCAAATGTGCCCAGTTATTTTCATTCGAATTTGGAAAAGTTAGCGTCATCCTCAAATCACCATGGTTGAAGATTTAATCCTCAAATCACCAGGATAGCAGAGTTAAAAGACCAGAACAAGATGTCAGCCTTCAACCTGGCTATCATCTTCTGGCCCACTCTTCTCCAGCCCACCCAAGACGTACTGATGAAGAACGACGACAGAACCAAATTCAGTAACATGGTTGAATTCCTGATAGATAACTCTGACTCTCTGTTTGGTCCAGAATTACCAAGCTGCCCGCCTCCTGATGAAGAGGATATTTACGACATGGTATTCCACCCTGAACTTGTGGTTAGTCAACAAATCAAATGATTGACTTAAATTTACACATTAACTACATAATTAACATCATGTTTATCACATCAGAATTGTTTTACAATTATAATAATTGATCCTCAGTGCTAACATGACATAGTCCCACTTGCAGAAACAGAAGACACAGGAAGAGTACGAGTACATAAAGCGTCCTAAAACCTACTTCAACCAAGCGCTGCGTGTGGGACATGTGCCCAGTCTGGTGAAACAGATCGTCACTTTCATTGAACATGGTTCGTGTCCTTGAAACGTTGGAATTTTCATAATATGGAGCTAGATATGTATGTAACATATATGTATATAAGAGTTGTTGTATTGTTTTAAATTTTGGAATTCCGCGGAAAGTTTATGTCAAGCATGACTTGCTGCACAGACATAGTCTACACGTCTAATCGTCTCCATTACCAGGACGGATTACTACAAGTCTTTACGTGCACACAGCTCGGTCTGACCTGGTGGACAACTTCGTTAAGACATACGAAGCAGCTTACGCGGTAGACGAACATCGCTCGCTTAATCTGAGGAAAGTTCTGAAAAATCTGACGATAACTCGGTCCCCGACTGATGACAGTATCAGCGCCAGTACTACCACTGATGAGAACTCTGTCTCTTCCACATCAGGTGCTTTTAATGTTAACTTTCATGTTTAACTACTCGACTCTCTTAAAGAGATTTTGACAAAACAAAGCACAAACTGAAACCAATTCATTTGTTATCACGTGATAATGTCCGGAAGTTTGAACAAAATTTCGTCATCTTGACACTAAGATCACTCATGAACGGGTGGCCCTAAAAAAGTAATGAGTATTAGTGTCAATCATGCGAGAAGTTTTCTGAATGACCGAATGAAAATATAATGGAAAATGTAAAAATATAATGATAAATAATGTACATTTCCAGGAGACCTGTCGGACAGCAGATTCGGAGTGTTTGAAGAGCAGACTATGGATTGTACCATATTAGCTACTGTGCTCAAGAGATACCTCGCAAGTTTGATAATTCCTATGATTCCCGCGGAGCATCATGTTAATTTCCTGGAAATTGCGACAGGTGAAGAAATTGTAGAGATAAAGAGATTGTAGAGATAAAGAGATTAGCTGATTATATATTCATTATTCAGAATAATTCCATATTTTGTAACAAGAACTGTATCCCATCATAGGTAAAAATTAATACTACAAATTATGTTTATTTCGGATTTTTGATTCAACAAAATTGATATTCCTGTATTATAGTCGGTGAAGAAAGTCGAGGCGCAAAGATACGAGACTGCTTTGACGAGTTGAAGACAAGTCACAAAATCTTGCTGTCCTACCTGATGAAACATCTTAGCTTGTTTGTTATTTTTAATTGCATTCGTTACATACTTTATTGGGGGATCAAATTTTACCTTCCATCACTGCAGAATGCTTAATTTTTAATCCATTTTCATACAGCTTGAAAATCAATCCGTTTTATGGAGGTGTAGCCTAACTATAAAAAACCTTCCTCTCACATAACTAACCTACAGGATGCGAGACAAAGGAGTTGGCCAGCTTGAGGAGACATTTGCTCCAATACTATTCTACGGTAACACGGATCTCTGCTCCACTAACCTGACGGACCTGACAGAGCCCACAAGTCCTGTTCCAATCACGTACAGTCCCAACATGGTCCAACAACAGCGGTGTATTAGATACCTCCTGGAGAATGTTCATGTTTATGCGCTCAAAGATGGAATTTCTTTGTATGCACCCCTTTATGAGACTATGGAACAGGTCTGACTAATGATAACAGAGAAAAGAATATGTTACATATATATTTTACATAGCATATTTTACTTCACTCAATACTTGTTGATCGTTGAATATGTATTTCAAAAAGACATGAACACTAATATGTAATTCGATTTATTTTTCTAATTCCACAAATTTTAATGTGGTGATTTTCCAGGATATGAACTCACCATCAAGTCACCAATACAGCAGTGTCCACTACAGCTTGCCAGTCCTCCCAGAGGAAACACGGCACTACGACCTCCCCTCCGACGTGCCCCACTACATCGACCCTCTCTACTCCTCCATCTCCAACACCTACACTCGAGATCCAGCCCTCAGGTCACCCATCACCGGCCCTCAATACGCAGACCCGGACGACTTGTCCGAGTTGTACGAGGAGGATCCCACAATATCCCCCAACACTAATACGTATGTGGACGCTGTGCCACTGGTCATCAGAGCCAACAATTCGGATGTTCTGCCAAACAGATAACGATTGGTAATCCCACTTAACCACGGGGTGTACTCTGTAATCCCGCCTCTTTCCGGTGGAGGAGGAGTTACCCGTGTTATTTTGAAATTGGAGCTACAATTTGAAGCGTTGTATTCGTGTATATTGTACATTGTATGTAGAAGTAGTGGGATGCATGGACTAAGGAGCCGATATTCCATTATATTGCATGTGACAAGGAAGAGCGACTGTTAAAACCATTATACGATAAACTCCTGTTCAAGTGATGGATATTTTTACTACGGCTTTAAACTCGAATTTTGTTTTTAGGATATAATTAATAAGTTATTATAACCTTACTTTCGAAGAGATTCAGTAGGTTACAGAAAATTGAGTGTTCTCTCCTCACGCTATCCGGTTCACAAGCAAACTGCTGCAGAAATTCATTTCATTCAGACAATTTGTTATGTACTTCTGAATCATAGTGCTATTTTTTTAACTGAGTTATAAGAAGGCTCCTTTGCCTCTTTTTAAAAACATTTTTGTTGGCTCACATTATTTTTAACTTAACGTTAAAGAAATTTTGTGATCAGTATACCTCACAAATTCAATTCATTGGCCCAAGGGTTGTTTTGATTTTGAAATGAAAATTTTGAAGGTTGTTAATTCAAAATACATTTTTGTTTTTTATGCCTGTGGTATAAAATTATCTATAAATACGATATGATATATTATTCAATGTTCTGTCTTTTTAATAATACAAGCAGATTTTTGTTTGCAATATTTGTTGAAATATATAGAGTTTTACTGAACAATCTGACGAAGTTTACAGCAATAATCAATAAAAATCTTTCACTTGACATGACGGGAGGTCGGGAGGACCGTGAAAATCTGTAAATATTAAGACCTTAAAGCTTTTAACTGCTCAGAAAGGAAGGAAGACCATGAAATCATCATCAAGTTGGAAACAATATCAATGAATATATGTAGAAATAAATTTGTGTCAATGATCTATTTACCTTAAAGTTAATATGGAGGTTTTCTAGTACAACTTTCTTATACATGAGAAAGGTTACTCGACATAAATTACTTCGGAGCGGAGAGGTTTCCATACCAACACTGGAGCCCACTCCAGTGTTGGTATGGAAATTGGACGCTGGAGGCCTTGATGCATGTTGAATATCTCTTAACACCGCGCGCGAAAAGAGGTATACATACAATTACAACGTGTATCAATGGAGGCCTAAGCGCTCATTTTAATGTCCGTTCAATTAAATTATGTCCGGTCAAATAATTTCCGATAAGGTAGCAGATCTATCTACAGTGTGTTTTAAATTTAAGCCTTCCTTACGGTGGCTTTCACAACTTGTCCCTATGTCTCCAACTCCTGCTGCTGGAGAGAGAGAGACTCCCAAACCATATAGGCATATACCACAATCATATTATACATAGATGACGGCAAAATACTCCTGGAGTCTTGAAGCTCTGTTTAACTACCGCCCCTGGTGCAAACTCCAGCCCCGCGTCGGGTTAAAGACGGCTAGACAGAGACTTCCACTTCCAGTACAGGGGAAGTCGTGGACTGTTATGTGCAACTCGTAGGACTGTGCATCGTTCCTGATCCTGGTGGGTCATGTTACTTCTGAATCGGGATCGTCAAACAATTGTGAGTTGATACACAGTTGCCTGGGTGTCTAAGTGGAAACTAGTGTCTCTGGAGTCTGGTCTGTGGTCCTCGCTTATATGTTTATATATGTACTAGTGTAACCCGGCCTACGGCCGGGATTTCACTGCCGCAGTTAAAAGGGTAGGAGTAATTACCCGCTGAGTCAAAACCCGCATTAGGTGACCCAATAGTTTCTTACGTTGGTTTGGACATGTCAGTAGAATGCCTGAAGATCGGTTACCTAACTATCTACTTGAATAGAAACCCAAGCATGGGAAACGATCAAGAGGCAGGCCTAGGAAGAGCTTAAATGATGTTTTTATTGAAGATGCTGAGCAGAGATTGGATCGTAATGGACTCACGATTGATTGTATGAGAAGATTGGCTGCAGATCGAAAAGGATGGAGAAATATTACCGGCCGAAGTTGTATAATACAAAGTAATGACGCAGATGACGCAGACTAATCCTTTTGGATGGAGATCTCGCCATGTATGTATGTAACATAGTTTCTTAAACAATAATCTCATAATCAGTTATTTCTTGTGGATAATTAAGTCATTATTAGCCATGAGGCACCACACTCCATGATCATAAGGTCTGAACACCGAGTATTACACCTCATCACTCCCGTCTTGATTCTTGAACCGCTTTCTATTTTTATTTAAATCGGTTATAGAAATTAACCCTTGTTAACTCCGCACCACACCCGCATATTATATTTGAAAACACGCATAACATTGTCGTATGAACTCTCTCTCTCTCTCTCTGCAGTCCAAACAGACCCCAAACACTAACAGTCCCCCCTCCCCTAATAAGCTTAAGGTATAACATTACAGCGAATCTTCCGGGCTAATCAAATTATGACGCTACTTAAATGCAGCTATAACATATTACACAGTAATGAGAGAGAGAGAGAGCAAGCCCCGTAACTCTTGCCGTTCTGCTCACGCAATTTTATGTAACATTTGTGGTACAAAACCATCAATTAAACCACTTACCATCGGCCGATTTAAAAAAAATTCCTATGGGCTTCATCAGAGTTTTGTCGACACTATACCGAAAAAATCAGTCCCGTAACTCTTACCATTTTTTTGTATAACACACGGACAGACAGACAGACAGACACACAGACACACACACATTCTGGTGTTATTAAGGTGATATCTCGAATCACACAGTATCCTGTTCCTGAAAAATTCCCTATTTTTGAACCGTCCATGAGTATCGCCCAGTGTGAATTCTGGGTAATTCCGACCTGTAACGTCATTGCAGACCGCTCATCTGTCGTTGTTTTGAGTTTCCGATCCAAAACCAAATCCTGGGGTTACACGAGACGTGGTAGCCAGTAGCCTGTGAGCGTGTTAAATCCTGGTGCTTCTTTGAGTTTGACTCAATGGATGTGTGTTCTACGTTGAGTTTCGTCAAGACTTGACGAGCCATCACATCTTCTAACCACCCCACAGCGAAGTAAAGTCTCGCTCGTTGCTGGTTGCACCAGCACAGCAGAGAGTTCGTATACCCCACTAGACAGTATCACGCTGTGACCCCCATTGAAAGTCACAGGGGCTACAACGTGAGGTAGTATATCCCTTGATCGGCGGCTTATTGCTACACGTTGTATAACTCTCTCGTGCACGCTCTCTCGGCCGGCCCTTTGTGGCACGAAATAAAAAGGCCAAGTAAAAGGGGTCTGGGGTTGCAACGTGTGCGACTTATTATGTATTATAGAAAGTCAACATGAACTTGATGAGCTTATCTTTGAAGTGCTCGAGATATTGATCAATGACATTCAAATCATCAAACGGTACTGGTAGGGGATTGCATTCCACAATTTAGCTTTAGGTCCCTGAACTGCAAATGTGTTGTCAAACAAGGTGAGGTTTTCTGTTGAACTGGTTTTACGTTTTGATGGAATAACTGCTAGGTTTCCAAGCTTTTGGAATTTGGCGTGAAACAAATAGAAGTAGAACTAAGAACTTTCAGATCATTGCTGGTCTTTCCGTGGAGGATTTTCCACATGTACTTGTACTTGTAGAGAATGATGACTCGATGGATGTCAAAATTAGACCATATACATGACCTATTTTCCGCAGAATCGAGAATATTATCCAAATATGATTTAAATATTATCGGAGTATAATTAGAATTTAGAATTTAGAACATTTAACGTTTTTTTAGTAATAAGGACTGACCTTCTATTCAAGCTCATGCCTTTATATCATATTGTATCGTGTTACTAGAAAAAGATGGTGAATATATTAATATCATTGCCTGAGCCCTGAGGGCTCCCTTAATTAGAATTACCGCCGGTAATATTGTGTGTTACCATGGTAACGCAGTGTCTTGCGCGTCACGTGACTTACTGATAACGCTACACGTGTTACCGCGTGACCTATACTGCGCGCTGTGGACCCAGTACACTCGGTGTGATGCTGATGGAGGTCAGTGTGGTTTCGTTAATGTCTTGAAGCACAAGTTTTCCCGATTTCAATTTCAGTGTAACCGTAACACAAGCCAGTCCGAGACCGGAAACTGTTCGTTGTCTAGTGATCGTTTGTCTACGCCCTCTCTTGTGACTAGTGTAACTGTAACTTCCACCGATGCTAACATCAGATATGATTTAATAACTGATTCGTTTTGAAATTGTGGTTACTACTTCACAAAACCGATGATTAATCAGCAATTATTCCCTCTTAGTCTTGAGTATGTCCCGTACTTCAGAAAAACAATCTCTTAGCTATGACAAAAGTCTCCCCAACCTAATTCAACCCTACACACCAAAAGTTATAACATATGAACCAGGAGCCATCACTAGCGAAGAATTGAAATAACTTATCCGCAAATCTGTGTCTTGAATTGAGGCGCTATCAGCTATGACGCACAAAAGTGAGAAACTGGGGATTTATCTGCAGATCATTCAAGTTAGTGAATGTATTTTTCTAAAATAACCAAATATGTTGAGGCTGAAGAGCATTATCAAACGTCTTATCTGCATGGTTTTCTTGTGTGGTTGTATATTTCAGGCGATCTCCTCATGTTGATCACTTTAAAGTTGATATCCATTATCCAATGATCAATGAGTTACAATTATATAAAGTTATATAGTAAAGTAGTAATTATCTTGCATGGTATTGATGATGATTGTTGAATCATGATTTCAGATTTGTGACATAAACACTGACAATGACCACATCAGTTTTTTTTGTAAAATCTGTCTCGATAAGCTACAGAAAATATTTTCAATACTCTCTACATTCTACAACCCAACCGAACTTTGATGATAAAAATAACCCTATAAGTCGGTTATAGAACTTGATTCGTCATTCGTTCCCTCCTTTAATGAAAAGCCTCGCCAGATAATGGTTATGAATTTGTAAGTGTCCTGTTAAAATAGCTGCTCAAATCTGACACAAGGTGTTTCTTCGCACATCTAATAACTGTCCTTCAGTGATCCTCCTTCTCCAATAACCTGTCACCAATCCTGCCACCGTCCCTTCAATATCTAGTTATTACTTTGCCATTTCCGATCGCAGACCCTCTATATCGGGATATGATACGAAAATTCACCATTTACATTCTAGTTCTGGAGAGTTCTGGAGAGTGTATTCGATTTTTTGTTTGGTTTGGGAGTCCAGCGAACAATTTTAATTTATTTAAGTAATTGTAATGCTTTTTATTTGTAGGGTTGATGAAGTACTTATATTATCATAAGATCTGGAGCATTTATTCGTCTAAAATGATGCAAATACACAGCGGTTAAATTAAACAAGCTTTTATTATTGTAATTTAATCAGTGTTTACATAACTACAGGCGCAGTGCGATGAGTCAGGATGCGACCGGGACCAAGGAGCCTGATGAGGTAGAAGCAGCCGTTCGTGTTCCTAACACTAAACTCAACAGATTCGTGCAGTTTTTTGACGGTGGATGGGGAGAAGAGGGGGCTTACCAGGAGAAAAAGTTTGATTTTATTATAGATGTAATGATTTATTTTCAGTTACATTTGTTAATATTAATTTTCTGGTGCCGACGTATCACAAGGTTCATCATTCCAACTATCTTGGGATAAATGTGGGTAAATTAAATTAAAATATATCAACCTCATCCAGAAGCCCAGCCACGAATCTCGACATGATAGACACAAGTCTGGTAGACATAGATCACGAGCTTGCCAATGTGCCGCGTGCTTTCACTGACACAGACGCTAAAAAGGTCTTCTATCGGACTTCTGTTTTCCTTTCTGTTCCTCTTCTTACTCTTCTACTCTTTGCTGGTTTGGTGTTTACCGATTTTAGGGTTACTTTAAGAGATCTGCAAATCCATGTACATAATATGCTCGGAAAATGGTAGTTTCTGTTCGATGATCCATTTTTTTCATGTAGTAGTAAAGACGTGTAAATTTAATGAAAGTAAACTTCAGGGTTTGATGTATACCAAGCGTTGTCCCAAAGCCCAGAGGTGGGGAAGTACGAGATACGAATTCTTCAGGGTAAGCTTTAGAAGTCAATGCTGCTCATATGGAGGGATTTGAAGTTTTAAATGAATTTGATCAAACTGAAAGAACAATCTTTCGATTATGAGGTCTTGCTATTCTTACTTTTTTACTTTTGGAAAAGTTGTAGAGGAGGCCGAGGTTTCTATTGTCCTCTTAACTGATATCGAGTCGAATATTCACACATCTACGCACGTTTAAGCTTATTATGGAATCGCGATGTTGCTTTGAATATGTAAAATTTGCCTATAATGTTATCTAAATATTTATAGTTTATACATTATACAGGGATGAAGATAGGCAGTCTTATGACTGAGATACTGAGGGAGCAATCCTTCACCTACATGTACGTTATGGATCACTCTCATTCAAACCTGAACAAACTCCGGCACGCCCAGGTAAAGAGTTGGGCCTTTTTAAACATTAACAGGGTCTAGGCGATCCTATTAATCTGCAAAGGACAAATTCCCTGTCATCTAAACTGGAACGCATTCAATTCTTTCTTAAACTACAGAACATAATATATTATTACCAATAATGGATGAGGTTATATTATTATATGGGTATCTCACACTCACAGTACTACGCTCTCAGAGAGAAACAGATAAGCGAATAGACGAGCTATACAGAACGGGTTTCCCAAAGTACCTCACTACAACCAACCCTCACGAATATATCCTCTACACTGCAATGGAGAAAGATATCGAGTCTGATAACCTACAAATCAGTAACACCAGTCTTGATCTTCTGCAGAGGAAAGAGGTTCGACTTTTAAAGCTTTAGTTATTGTATTTGTCCAAGGTTTAGTACATTTCATCAGATTAAAATAGCTGATGCAAATTAGTTTATTTCCCTTGATCATTAATACTGCAAGGATAAAATACTAGCAGGGTAAGTTCTTGTGTTAGTAAAGTTAAATAATATATCTAGCTCTTGTTAACATTCTCAGAATATGACGCTCTTTGCATCATTTCCTATAGAATATAGCGCTCCTTGCATATTTTTCTGAAAATACAGCATTACTTTTATTGTCAGGACAGCATTACTTTTATTGTCAGGACGTATTGGCCAAGTTCAAAGAGATAAGAGTACCACCGATAATCAACTCTACCCTGTACGTGAACTCCTACTACACCAAGGTTATGGAGATTCTGGTGCAGTCAGTTGTGTACACTTTCAGCGAAGGTTTCTACTTTTTGGATCAATCGTTTCAAATTCTCGTGTTAACAAGAGTTTTATATAACATATAAACCCAAGATGCACTACATGAAGAATTCGTTGTAACTTTGTTTGAAAAGCATTAATATGTAGTGAATCCTATTTCCTGTGTCTCCGTTGGCATGGGGATTTGATCGAATAGTAATGTGAGCAATCGCGTAAAATTATTATACCGCAGAGAATGTCTAAATGTTTAAGTTTCAGCTGTTTCCCATCCAGGATCACTTCTGATCTATTTGTTTGTAGATGCGGGGCTGCAGGAAAAGATTACAATTGTTATGTTAAGTCTGTAGTCCGTATTCTTTCACTTTTTTCTCAACTGGTTCAGAGCCTGCACTGTTCGGAACAAGAAAGTGGAAGATGTTAGTCGCCTTCAAATGCCTCCTTGAGATTCAGAGCAGAGCTGCGAAGATCGATGCTATTGGCATGTTCTTCTACACCGAAGGTAGAATTATGAAGTTTTAAACATCGAATCTGAATATGTATCTAAGAAACTGTAATAGCAATCACGGTTGAGAAATCTCACTTGTTGGCAGATCTGTTCCACTTTTTGAAGTTTATGTACCTTCAGTACATTGCTAGTATTCAATGTTTTAAGGGCCATATATTGTGTAATCACTAATCCTGTACGTACTGTTTGAAAAGATTGTCAGAAAATGTTTCGTTTCAAGGATATGCTGATGCGGAGAAAGTTCAACTGATGGTAGCTAATCAGGCGGTGGAGGACTATTGTTTTTCCAAAATCCTCATGTACATTCCTGACCTTAAAACAGATACCGACAGATTATCTGATGCCATCGAACTTCTTAGAAATCATCGTTACAGAATACTCAACAATCAGTCTTTAGAGGCGTCCAGGTCGATGGGAATCAATTGGATTGCAGGTTATTACTCGGATAATTCATTTCCAGCCTTTCACGTTTTATATTTTATACGCCATCCATCAAAATGATATTATTGTTGATTTTCAATCACACTTTCTTTTCAATTGTTCTCGTTCTCCTAAGCAAAATTAAATGGTTGGAAATAAAAGTGTAACGGGAAATATTTTCAATAAAACTCCTTCTTTTAGTAATCAATCTGTACAATGAGCAACTGAAGACGGTACAGAACATTCTGGCAAGGGCCATGCTGAACAATATAGATGACTTCAGACGAAATGCAAACATTCTGATCGGGATAACAATGTCCGCACTAGTCTTCATCGCACTTGTAGAGCCTTTTCTTTTCTGGGCTAACATCAGTGAGTCGAATTTAATATTTCATTTCTTTGTAGTCGTAAGGTTATCAAAATCCATGCTACCTTAAGTTTTAACTTTAGCAGCAAAATTTAATCGAAACCTAACCCTAGATTGATCTGTATGAAGCTTACCAGTTTCAATTTATTGTCCGACTAATCATATAGCAAGGAAGTCCACTAGGCTATTAGGCTAGCTCCATAACCGAGGTTCAATCCTTCAGATAAAACCTACTCACTGGTGAAAGTGCAAACCAAAAACACGATACAACTAACCAAGTTAACTGAGGTTTTGTGTCGTGAGAAAAAGAGATCAGACGATTTGATTTACAAGCTGGTACCCGCTGACATTGCCAAGAAGCTCAAAAATCACATCGCTGTCACCCCTGAGATCTTCGACTCTGTTTCAGGTAGATTTTTAGATTGCATTTATTTTTTCTAATTTCTGTCGAAAAAATAAGAAAATTTGTAGAACTAAAATTTGTAACTGTATAAATATTGAAAGCATGCATAACAGAAATATATATCTAACTAAATTGGAAATAACTCTGGAGGAAGTGGTCACCCAATTTTTATAAGCGTCGTATAACTCTATTTAAAGTCCTAAAAGGTGAACGAAATTTTCAATTGTTATAATACTAACGAGCTTCTGAAATGTAATTTGTCAATATATTGGTTCAGCTAACTAAATTCACTTGTCCATTGGTTTAAGAATGAAATATCATCTAGTTCATGTCCATGTCATCCATCATACCACCGTCTTCAGAATACTCAGCGGGGCAGTTGTGATTTTTGTCTGGCCAGGGGTTCATGATGTGCTCACCCATGTAAATATCACAGAAGAAGCAGTCGTAGTCCATTTTATTACCAATAAAACGAGCTTTGAACCCCTTCTTTTGGCTGAACTTTCCTGAAAACGATTAAATATTATAACGAGATACATTCTATTATAATACAGCCTCAAAGCTGGCTGCTAAAAACGTACAATTGCAATAAAATTGCGCTAAACGCTCGAAATTTCGAGGCCAACTTAAGTGGTTCACGTGATTTTAGCACATGGTTTTTGACAGTAGACACTCAATCATGACACTCTGCCAGTAACTGGAACCTACCCATTGAGTTGTATTGGACTCCCTCCTCGAAATACTTAGTTTCGTAGTAACCATCTCTACCTAGGTGCACTCCTCCCCACTTAACATGAACATCCATATTCTTCAGTTTCATCATATTTCCTTCTTTCATGACCTGGTAAAGATTATAAATTATAAATTTCATTCATTCAAATTTAAATTGAAATGTATGTACATCATTATTAAAAGCTTATGATCTTCAATGACCTAGCTGATATCCTTCTTTTGTAAAGGATATCAGTTAATGAAAGAGCATTAGAGAGAGATCAGCTGATCTAACTTGCCCTGTGCAATGAAATATTAGTAGATGTACACATATCTTTAGAAATGGAGGTTTGTACACTTGAAATGCCCAAAGAAGCAAATTCCGAAAATTTTGATTAGCATAAAAGCTATACTTAAAACATCCAGATTTAACTAAGTGCCATATTTTGTCACTAAAATACATGCAATAATGGGTTGGGGGGGGGGGGGGGTGGGGGTAGGTACAGACTACAGGTTTAATGAACTGGACATAGAATAGTCTTATAGAGTTATAGAATAGTCTACAGAAATCCTGAGATAATATGGATGGTACAAAGAAAATATATTTTTATGAAGGCATACCTGTGTGGGGCAAAACATCTTCCCGCTTCGCTGAACCATTTTGAAGCCGACGTCAACCTTCCACATATCGTCAAAGCACTGAATGGCAATTTGCTCCTCAGGAGCACAAAGAGGCCAGCCCATTTGACCGTATTCATCTCCATTGCAACTTGGGCTGAGAAATTTTGTATATTTTATTGTATGAAAATGAAACTTCATAGTTTTGTCACTATTATTCTGAATCCTATTTGACAACGCCTTAAGGATGAGAACGGCCACTGCGATTAATTTATTTAAAATCTTACTTGCACCATCCAAAAAGATAGTTAGGGATCGTTCACATATTGGATTATAAATTTATACTATCAGCTATCGGGCTATCCCTTTAGGTTAAGAATGGAGCAAGACGCAAGTTGGAAGTAAAAGAAGTGTACAGTGTACAGTGTACAGTGTACAGTGTACAGTGTACAGTGTACAGTGTACAGTGTACAGTGTACAGTGTACAGTGTACAGTGTACAGTGTACAGTGTACACGTTACCTACCTCATCATGAGTGTGTCGTCGTGGTAGCAGAAAACGTTGGTCATTCCAAACGGAATATCTTCAATTGGTTTCATTTTCTTGTCAGCTTTGATCTGCTTGCCGTGTCTGAATCCCATAGATCTACACATTGCTCCGGCGGCTGCACCGTTAAAGTGGTCGTCACATGCTGCATACCAATCCCCAGAAGATCCATCAGCGTAATTATGTCTGGCCTTGGCCCGACCAGCGTTCTCCATCTTGCTTGTTCCGGGAACCAGCTCAAATTCTATTGTGTACCAATCTTTTGGATCCACACAGTAAGGAAGTTCAAAGGTTCGGTCGCTTCTACACCAGCCTATGTCACCTTTCCAGGTTTCACTCATCATGTACCCACTGTTACACCTGTATCTTGCTTGGTCGACAATATCGTACATTTCGTTCTTTATTTCTTCCACTCGATATCCATTATAGATCTCTTGAGGCATGTTGCAGGGCTCAGGGCTGCCAGGTTCCACGCAACGAGGCAGATTCTCAGGATCAACGTTTTCATTACGAGATCTTCCACACGCTCCCCAGCCATATTTGTCCTCGTAATCTTGTTCGCTGGAGCTAAATATTTGTGGATTCCTCAGCTCGAAGCCAGGATGGCATCTGTATTCTCCGATGTAAGTCTCATACTCATCCCATTCCCATTCCCTCATCAAGTATCCGTTTTCGATCATGGCAGGGCAATAGTTGCGTTTTTCACAGCCTGTTGAGGAATCACCACATTGTATACGGTCGTAAACGTCACCGTAATACCGAGTTCCGTCCAGGCATTGATACAAACCTGCACGATTTCCGTCATATTCGGCATATTCTACTATAAATCTTGCATTTTCCAGCTCCTCAGGAAATTCGCACTCTGCTTTGACACATTGAGGCATATCAGATTTACCGCCCTCAACAGAGCAATACACTTCTGCTTCTCCTTCCATTTCATATCCAGGGTCACATTTGTATTCAACGGACCTACATGGTCTATCCAGATCAGCATGTTTTCTTGCGATGTATCCATTTCCTAATTCCCTGAATACACAGGTGTCCCTCACACAGTTTGGTTGTCTGTTGATTGTATTGTCTGTTGTTTTGCAGTAAAACGATACAACTTCACAGTCTTCATTCGATTCCAAGTTGTCTAACCTGTATCCCTCTTCACAACTATATCGATATGTTGTCACAGGATTTTCACAGCCTTCACATAGTTGATCACTGCTAACGTAGTCTCTGTTATATATACCGGATAATTTCCCGTTATTGATGTCATTTGGAAAGTCACAATCCGCCTCCGGTTCAGCTTCGCACTCACATGCAGAACCACTATATAAACAACTTAATTTCACTTGTCCATTATCGCAGTAAATATCATCATCTTTCGTTGTATATTCAAATGTACCTTCCGCCATTCTCAGTCCTCGAGGAATTGTTAGGATCATATCTCTCACATGATCCATCATTTGTAGACCTGTAAGCTTGGTCATCTCATACATTCCAAATTTCCGGAATGCACCCTCCACAGTCTTACTGACTGCATCCATTTGAAATCTTTCCATTTTCCCGACGTGGGAGAAAAGTGGCAGATAAAAGCCACTAGCCCATGCAATGTCGTGACCACTAAAGTATTCAGTAAAATCAAAGGCCATTGTAAGATGATTGTCGTTGTCTGACAAATTTTCACAACTTTGACTTCTTTCGTCAATTTTGTGAATTTTCTTTGCGACAAAGCAAGCAACATCTTCCCAATAGAAATTATCCATGATATCTGACCATGAACGGGTAAAGTCCTTGCAACTGTGTTCATAGATCTCTGAAAACTCTTCCATGACCAAGCACCCTAGCATTTCTACATTGTAATCTGTAAAATCATCAAGGGACATTCTTTCAATAGAAAACCTGTCCGAGCAGAAGTCCTGAAATCCCTGTTTAACTTCCATGACTTCGCAGAGGTACATTTCTACGTTTGCATTTACTTCAAACTCTAAATCTGCATCTACGTACGCCCCATAGCCTCCCCACACGCCATCAGAGTTTTTTTCCCTGGTATACCCGCCATTTAAACAACCTTCGGCGCTTTTTGGGACATTATCGAAAACTGTCACACTCTGATAAAAGCTACATGAGTGGCATCTTGGGAAATTGCTTTCAGAATTTCTATCGAACCAAGTACTGTAAGGGCACTTCTGACAGTTGCCGGATTTGGTTAGTCGATAACCACCCTCGGAATCGCAGCTCTCTGAACATTTAAATGATCCATCTGAGTCTATCTTTGGATCCGCTCCACATTCAGAACTGTCTCTGAATTTGTACGAATTTTCTTCCGAGTATTCAAATGATTCTCCGTCGTAGTATTCCACATCATTTGCTTTATCAAGGTTTGATTCCACAGTTCCTTGCCCGGCATCATCGTCATAGAAAATCAAATGTATCATTATGGCACATTCTCCAGAAATAAGCGTGTTGCAGGTTGTGAAATGTGCCTCACATTCATCACTTTCAAGGCAAGGGAAGGGCCAGTTGTATTGTACAAAATCTCTAAGTCTTGCCTCACCACCAAGACTCATACAGTCTTGAGATTTTCCTACGTATTGGATAAACACACTTTTTTTCAAAGATGGGGCATTCGTGTTATCTTTTACGCATTTGGTTCCCACTCCTTCCCATTCTGCAGAGCGATAACCATCCTCGCAATGTTGGTTTAGGTGAACGTCAACACTCAAGATCTCCTCGTCTTTGACCCTGAGTTGATCGTGATTCATCTTCCACCCAAACTCTTTGAATGTCTCCGCATTATTAAGCATGTCGAAGATGATTCTTGTGTAATGGTCAGCAAGAGAAGCATAGTCATTGATCGAGTCTTTGTAAGCTTTGAATTTCAATAAAAAGCCGTGAGCATGCACTGCAACGTTGTTTGGTAGCATAGCCCGAACTTGAAGTTTGCTAAAGTGGTCTTTTTCGTCGTACTCAACAAATGCTTTTGCTTCGTAAAAGCCGATGGCAGATGCCTCCTTGAGAATATCATTCAAGAAAGACCAGTCACCAGTCATGTCAACTTCCACGGAAACCTCACTTTGAAAAGATCCTTCTCCAAACATTTCATCAGGATCAACGCAATCGCTTTCTTGTGTAGACCCAACCTGAAAAGTTGTTCCAACGTTGCAATATCCATTACAATATCCCTGCTCCTGGCCGTCTTCAAATTCGTCTGATGGACATGGAATGCATCTTGACTTCAAACCAAAATCATAACCGTCTGCGAAATGACCTGCCGAACATGGTTTACATTGACCGTTTGTGAAATCCCCTTCCCAGCCAAAGCCATCGGGACACGTCATAACGTGCTGGGATGGTTCCATCCAGTAATCTCCGTCCCAGAAAAATTCATCTCTATCTGTGTCCAAACCTGAAACGATACGGTGTTAAATTTTTATTATTGCAGGTACTGATCTAGAAAAATTGTAAATTATTCGGTGGCCATGATTCTTATGATCGTAATTGTCAATTGATGTAACAATTCCCAATGAAGTTTAAATCTAAAGTTCCATTAAATGGATTGTCAGATTTACGTTAAAATTTCAAATCCAGGTAAAATTTTGAAAAATGTCATGTGAAAAGATTAACCTGAAGGGAATTTGGCTTGGTAGAGGTTAGTTTAACCTGTTTGGAAGTCCCAGAGAGCAATAAAATTGATAATTTTGCTCCAAATGTGTGGCCTGCGGCGAGCATTCCTTCCAGTGATCGTCCCCAGAGCCTGCTCTCCCATTTATTTATTTTCAAAGCGTTTCTAAACTGCATAAAATTTGCAGTGACCCTGATCATCTTGTCACAGCAAGCACATGGAGAAACCCCCAGAATATTAATAATAACTTAAACTGATGTTGCAAAAACACTTTTGCAAAACATTCAGCGATAGCTCTAGAAAAAAATCTTTCGCAAAAAAAAGCCAGGTTTAAAAAATTCCAGCTTACGTTAAGGTGCCAATTTTTTAACTTATTTTCAGCTACGACTATACATTATTTTATATGCCTCCCGTTTTTCCCATAAAAGGTCCTAAATATAACGGGACAAAATGTGTAATTAATCAGATTAACGCAATTGAACAACTACAAAATGATTTAAATCATTACTTTCACTTAACAGGAACAATCAAGTTGCTTAAACTTTTAGATCCGCAAAAATTGAGTGAGAAGGTGTGCGTGATCTGAGTACGAGTTGGCAGGCGAACACTCGCGGGGCAGAAATCAGCAGTTATTTCCAATCCACAAAGCAAGCAAAAGTAACTGAGTCAGCTCCTAAATTTCGCTAATAATTCGACAAACTTACCCCATACCCTCTCGACTCTTCATCAGTTTAGTGAAGAAGAAAAATAACCATTTTCCTGAGCAGGGACGTAGCCAGGATTTTTCTTTGGGGGGGGGGCTTCGGCGTGCGAAGCGAGCAAGCTGTGGCAGGGGTCTGGGGGCGCAGACCCCAGCGGGGTCCAGGGGCGAAGCCCCTTGGCTGGGGCTAGGGGGCGCAGCCCCCCGGATTTTTTTTGCGAAATAGAGTGTTTTGGACGACATTTGGCATTAAAGAAATTTGTAGGACAGCAATAAACTGGGATCGAAAAGAATCAAGTACTCACGTAAATTTGGTAACTTCACAACAGCAATCTGCATTCTCCAATCAGAATTTACGACTTACATAGGCCTCATCGTCTTAAGATTTTGACATTTCCTACTACGGTCTAGGGGACACTATTGACTATTTATAGAAGTCTTCTAGAATGTTTGCTAGGATGTTATGACAGATATTTACTAATCCACAGTTCAAATCTTTGACTGACTGCAGTCATAAACACAGCCCAGTTACCAGGCGACCATGGGGACTAGGGGGCTTATCTTTTTTCTAGGGGGGCTGCCGCCCCCCTAGCCCCCCCTCCCCCCTGTCTACGTGCCTGGTCCTGAGCATGTGTTCTGTAGTAAACTCGCAAATAAACCGATGTAAACAAGGGCTATTATAATCATAGGTATAATTAGGGTCTAGGGAGTCAACTGCTGTGTGACCCCCCGTTTAGAAATTGTGGTATCCGTCATACACTTAGTGTAATATTCACTGCCACAGAAACTTCGGTCTATCCGAATTCTTTTCTAGCCTGATCGTCGGGGACAGCTTTGTGTATTGGTTACAATAAAGAAAAACTAAGAATATGATCCTACCTAGAGTTTCAGCGTAGTCTCCGATTCTGTCGATGATACTCTCCACAGAGTTGTGATGTTCTGTCAGAGAGCACTGCAATAACAGTGCTATCCACAGTACTCCAAGCATAGATTTGTGTTTCGAGAAGTTTCTCACTTTCTTGCTAAGAATACACGAACTTGTCAGGTTTGAAAATGTTTTGTTTTGTTATTTCTTTAACATCTTCTAATATCATACGGGGTAGTTCACATATTATGTAATCCAATAAGAAGGTATTCAGTATGTTTCCTATTAGATCTGGAGAGGGAAGACTATATTGGATCAAAAAGTGGTTCAGATTGTATGCCACTTTTCGTTTGTTTTGAAAACGAAAAAACCCTCATCTTCTGCAGACACAAGATCAAGCAAAAGTCTAGAATGCCAAAATAGCCAGAATCTGGCTTATATAATATGTAAATTATTCCTGACTGAACGGTACATCCAAAGTATGTACAGCAGTACTGCAGTACATACTTCCTACATACTCGTAAACTTGATGTGAACCGAATACTATACGAGACAATAACAATTTTCAACACAAAATAAAAAACATCAACCCTGATCCCTGTCATGAACAATTTAATCATGTTGTCAGTGGCAAGGCAGGATTAAATAATTTGGGATCTTGTAATTTAAGTTTACACAATAACCCACAAGCAGATTTTACGATAGGTCTACCGGAGTATGTAAAATGGTACGTACTCAAATACGTAGTACGAACTCGAGTCACGTCAGTAAGGATTGGTTAGAGTCTAATCAGAGAAGCTAGGTCTAAGGTCCGTGATTATGAGGAATTACAAAGTTTATATCCGACATTTTAAATAAGGATTATCCACGACTTCTGAATCCAAAAATCCATCAAGATGATATCAATACTGACTTTTGCGAACTGCGAAGAGTATTTGGTCATGATGCACTAGTGTCAGAAAGTCAGGAAGTCACACACATAACAAATCGAGAAAGCTAAAATGGATCTATGATCAAGCAAGTTCATGAGTAAATAGACCATTGTGGAGAGCGGCTTAGCTTGTGTTTTAAAGTGTGCATGACATTATTCAGCTGAAGGACTCCATACACATACGATATAAATTATGTTTGAAATCGGTGCTTACTAAGATTTCAATAGTTTCCAATGTGAGTTGAGGGATGACCAGTTGTATAACTGGTAAAAAGTATGAGCAATTTCTTTTCAGCTCAAAATTTATCAAGAGGGCATCAATACTGACTTTTGTGAAGAAAAATCAGTCAGGATGGACAAGGAGCTCTGAAAGTCAGAAAGTCACGCACGCAAATAAAAGAGAGCTAGAACGAACATGTTAAGCAAGAAGCAGGTTCAGCCATTGGACCACTGTACGTGGAGAGTGGAGAGTGGCATAGCTTGTTTTTAAAGTATGCTTGGGATTATGCATCAAAAGGAAGTTCGTAAGACAATGCTTACTAAGATTTAGTTATTTTCTAGTGCAATTTATAAATAATCTTTTTATTTACATGCAGTTCTAGTTGCATGAACATTGGACGTATATATAATAAGCATTCAGTTTAAAAAACATGAATTTAAATCCGAATCTTCTTGTATATACAATTTCTGAAGGGCTTGCAACTGGACAGTAGCTTGTCGCAGACAACCATCAGACGACCAATCCCCATTTATTATGTTTAACTGACATCGCGGTTTCGTGTATAAACAATTTTTCAGAGAAATCTCAACTATTCTGAGAATCTGTGATAAAAAGTAGGAAAATTGTTAATTCAAAATAACATTGATATTTACTCACTTGAGTCAGTCACCAGGCAACGTTTGGAAAATTGACTACAGCTCACTTCAAAGTGGCTGTTTGATGTTACTGGGCGGCGCTCAGCCTGTCATTCCGCCGAATCTCTATGTTTATGAACATAATTTTTTAGTCGAAATCTTTTAAATCATTCAATTACATACAAATTACACAATGGAATAAACTACAAAAGTTTAATAGCCTGGGGTCCCCAGGTAAGTTTAATGAAGCCTTTCAAGAGATGGCCCTGAGACCTTGTAGACAGCAAGCACCCGTTTTGAAATGTCAGTTATTTTATGTTGCGGACAGAGGCCACCTATGATAGACATTTCTCCAGATACAACTACATGTCACGCCCAAATGTCACGTACGAAAGTCACGTACGAAAGTGGATTGTGGGTACCAAATATTACATATTCAAAGTGTGCACCATCGAAAAAAAATAAGAATAAAGTATCAGCATCTCAGCTAATATATAAGAAATAAGAATGATATTTCTAAGGTATAGATATAAATTTTACCACAAGTTCAAAGTCAGTGTTCCATTGTTCCAGTGGTTTTTTTTTTTTTTTTTTCTGATTTTGTGACATTTTCATATCAGTGTGAGCCCTCTATCTGATTATTCCTCAAAATAGTATTGTACATCTCTAAACAAGTGCTTTTTACTCAAAGTAAAATATACATACATCAATTTATTGTATTCAACGAGATATTTGAACATCTATGTAAGTTCTAATTAACTTTAAAATAATCTTGAACAAACTGTCCGTCCACGCTTATAATAACACTGATGTTAAACATGCTTTTTTTTTATCAAACTCATTTAGAAATAAAAGGGAACTATCTATAACTATCAATAATTTGAATATGAAATGAAATGAACCTCATGTCGTATATCATGCAATATCAGTGTTTAAACTGAATTTCTTATCTTTCAGATCAGTCGTTATTTTAAATAAAAATCATCGAAAAAATAATCGGAATTTAAAACTGAATAAGAATCTTTATATATCACAGAAAAAAAAGCTACTATACTAAACTTAAATCTGTAAAATGTTCTTTAAACTTAAGTAGTTCGATTTATTTCATGACGTTCGCAAAAGTTATGTCGGGCTGACTTGTTTAGTCCATGCTTGATTGATGATGTCAACCCTTCAACCCATCCAGATCGTTGCTCTGCAACCATCTCGATGCGAAGCAAGAATACTAGTTGTATGTGAGATGTGGTCTTCCCCTTCGACGATGTCCTTAAAGGGGTTCCCAGAAGAGAAGTTGATGACTGCCATTGTAGTCCTCCTTCATATCGTCATCTTCAGAATACTCGGTTGGACAGTTGTGGTTTTTGTCTGGCCAGGGGTTCATGATTTGATCATTCATGTAGATATCACAGAAGAAGCAGTCGTACTCCTTTTTGTCCCCGGTAAAACGAGCTTTGAACCCCTTCTTTAGACTGAATTTTCCTGAAATATAAAAAAAATCTATGTATTTGTTTTTGTATATGGGCACTTTCAAAAACATCTGTCACGGAAAAAATGTTAAAATTTGCCAAAAATCAGTTTTTGTGGCATAATTTGGTGGATAATTTTTGGAACGGGATGAAACTCCAGGATATGGTGTGCTATTCCCTAACCTTTACTATCTGCCACTTTTTGTTTCGATTTAGGGCTAAATCTGGTGGATAAAAGTGAAACAGACCAATCCACTTCAGGTGGCCTTTAAAAATATTTAATTCCATCTAAACTCCTAAAATATGATTGAGACTTAACAATAATCGTTATAACTTCATAATTTCATAAGTAGGGCCGGGATTTTTCTTAAGGGCCAAATTTGGTGGATATATTTTTTTACCTCTTTTTTAAGACTGTTATTTGTTAGCTAACATCAATTTACTGGTCTTAAAATAATGCAAAGGCAATGTTAAATCTATGGCATAAACTATGAAGTACAAGATTCAAGTTAAAAGGCTATTTTTGGTGGATATAAGTCAATATTAATTAGTTAAACACGTAAATGTTACCAAAATATAAATAAATAAGACATCATCATGATTAGAAACAGTTGAAAAAGATGAAATATAAGATGTTGAACATTTATGCATAAGGTACTATGGCATTTTAAACATTCAGGGCCAATTTGGTGGATAATTAACTCAAAAATACTTAAAATATCGACCTGGATATTTTGATATCCATCAATTTTGGCCTTAAAAGTCGGCTTGAGCTTATCACATTTTGTGCTGAACAAGAAAAAGGTATAAACAAACCAATATCAGTGTATGATTTCATAATCGAGCAAATCTAAGGCCAGAAATAGTGGATAAAAAAGCAAATTTAACCGTTTTTAAGCTAATTTCTTAGGCATTTATCCACCAAAAACGGCCCTAAATGGAGAATGTTTGGAACGTTTACTTGAAACTATAGCCCTTCTTTTCGACCTCAGAGCAATGATTTTCAGCTCTTTCGACCTTAAGATATAATTATTGGGCGTTGAAAGTGGATCACATACGTTATCAGTCAAGAAATCGTTATTTCAATCACTGAGGTAGGTTATTCACATTTAATATCCACCAATTTTAACCTTAAAAGTCGTCTTGGACTGAAAATTCTTTTGAACTGACTCAGCAAAGGGGATTTTCTATCTATAAACAGTTGTAGTTTCATGATAGAACACATCTAGGGCCAAAAATAGTGGATACAAAGCAAATTTTCCCGTTTTAGTACTTTTATCCACCAAAAACAGCTCTAAAGGCTGAAAGGAAACAGTTTGTTAAGTTCGTATGAAACTATATCCATTCATTATGGCCCTAGAGCAATAATTGTATACATTTTCAGCTTCTAGACGAGATAATTGGGGTCTAACAATGGATAACCTGCATTATTGACTCAGCAATTGACTTAAAATTAAATCAATCTTGAAGCTCCAATATATCCACCAAAAATGGCCTAAAAATTAAATCTTCTATGCTATCATAAACTTGAAACGATTTCCAACCTGATCCGTTCACTGAGTAAAGCTGGTGAACTTGTTGACCAATATAATTTTTTCAGTTGAAAATTTTCGGTATTGAATTTTATTTCATCGTTTTATTATCCACCATATCTAGCCTTAAAATTGAAATCTTTCTTTATTTTCGCCTTTTATCATAGAGGCATATCGATTTGCTACAATTCTATCTTTAAATAATCACCATAAATTAACCACACGTAAAGTTACAGGCCAACAAATGATATATCCACCAAACCCCTCTGAAAAGTATATCCACCATTATTAGCCCTGATTTAAATGCGTGTATCTCTGCTCATAGACATAGTAGACATTTTATTCTTTTTGTAAAAGTTGAACTATCGCAAATCCTATGCTGAAAAAAAGTTTAATCAAAATATTGAGTTTATCCACCAAATGAGAGCTTCTAGAAGTTGAAATTTTTCCCGTGACAGATTCGTTAACATAGTTTTTGAAAGTGCCCATATGTCATACAATATTCTGTATTAAACTATTGATATCATTCTTTCTGGTAAATTATTATAGTTTACTCGATAAATAAATTTACCAATATGCTACCAATATAGCGTTATTAATTCATTTGAAATGAAATGGAATGAGGTATTTATATCCCGCTCATATGATTAACCAACAACACAAGGAAGGTGGTTGACCATGTCAGAGCGGCTGACTGTGAGTGAATGTGTAAAAGTGAACAAAAGTGTAACTCATCATAAGGCAAAGACAAAATTAAAACATCTTTTATTGTAAACCACACAAAACTAGTATAATATATATTGATCCCAGCCTTATCGCTTAAAAACGTATTCTAATAGAGAATAGCCGCGGTAAATCGTGGTTTTACTGCAAAGCAACTATAGTTAGATTTGTTTTAATCACCAGTAACTTACCATTTGTGGTGTAATGGACTCCTTCCTTAAAATATTCTGTTTTGTAGTCATCTCCACTTTCTAGGTGTACCCCTCCCCACTCCACACGTACGTCCATGTTCTTTAGCTTCATCTCTTTTCCTTCTTTCAAAACCTGAAAATCAAAAACTAGATCGAAATTTTGCTTACAAACAAGCTGGCGATATATAAGGCCTTTAAAGAAAAGAGTCCTACTGTAAAATTTCAAGAAAAAGATAATCAAGTTGAATACTATTTAAAAACACTTACAAGACCTGTCTCTTATGAATTCGATCATTGTTAAATATTAACGAAATATTTATCTGAACATACTTTCACCGGACAGAACATTTTTCCACTTCGCTCAACCATGCTAAAGCCAACGTCAACTTTCCACATTTCGTTGAAACAGTGAACAGCGATTTGTTCCTCTGGTGTGCAAATAGGCCAACCCAATTGTCCATATTTATCCGCATTACAACTTGGACTGAAAAATAATGGTTAGTCCTAAAACCACATTTAAAACGAATAACATCTAAGTCATGTTCATAAAAAGTTAGACAAATTTGGTATTCAGCATAGTAGTTCGGCAAAATTTTGTAAAAATTTCGTTGAATTTGGCACATTTTTTTCAGCTCCTGCTGATTTAATCTTTTCGTATCATTTATATGTTTTAGATAATCCCCTCCACATTTTTTCAGTTCAAAAAATTGAGCATCTAAATTTTTCTAATTCACTAAATATAGAGTAGTCGAATACAGTTTGAGACAAATAGTACAAAACATTAACATTAACATGTGACCAAATTGTTGATAATGGCTACCGTAGAATGGGGGAACTTCGCCATGTTTTACAGCTATTTCATGTTATTTAGGAAATACGACACGTGTACTTGAAAAAGTTTATAGCTATATAACTTATGAACAGGATTGGTACATCAAATGTTTTTGTATGAACCACATCAGCCAGGCATAAATAGTCAGCTAGATTGGTGCCACTGAAATCAGGGCGAAGTTACCCTGCAATATGGGGTAACTTCGCCATTCTGAAACTATACCATATTCGGTGCTAAGCACCATACCACTCGAAACTCAATTATATTTCCTTGATATACCTGCCAATTTTACTTATCTAGCCCTAACCTGCGTGTTACAATGGGAAATTTGGTCGCGGGGGTAACATCGCCATGCTGCGGGTAACATCGCCTGGATGAAGTATAAATGTCGCCGAACAGATGGGATCAGAAGAGGGTAACTTCGCCACACACAAAATTGAAAACTTTATAATATCAGTTGTGTGCATCATGGCTAACCAAATTCGCCCTTAAATGAACAGGACATATTATGCTAATGATGTCACACAGAATTTATTAAGGATATAATTGTAAAATATGGGAAATATGCAATCGGGAAGTTTTAGCCACTTTATTGCATTATTTCATGTTGCCTGAGGTAAATTAACATAGTAAACGTTTATTTTTGAATAGGAATACCTTTATAACCATTTGTTCAACACAATACTATAGAAAAACTCGATCATCTAACAATTCAAAACAGTAAAATGATTATTTGAAAAATAGTGGCGAAGTTCCCCGACACGCCGATTTTACCCCAATCTACGGTATTTAAATAATTTATCATTATGAACATTAGATGAGCTCGGTAAACGTACGTTAATTGCATTTAAAAGTTCGTTGAGTGCGTTTTCCCCAACTTTGGGTATTCATGACTACTACCTTTTGCTTAGCAATTGCTAGTTTGTCGCCAATTTTGATATATCTCCAACTGTAAAGGTGTCAGACTGCAAAGGTCACAGAAGGTTCCGGTTTCAATTCGGATGTTTATCTTTCAATGAGGAACAAATTCTTCTCCAACAAATTTTGTGTAGAATTCATTATTTGATAAATTAATTAGCTAATTAGTGGCTAAAAAATCGGGGTTAAATTTGTTGCTGAAAATGATCGATTCGGTGACAGTTTTTTCCTTAGCCAGTTCTCAATACCAACATTCGTAGTGATTTTGATTTATTAATAATTATTGATTAAGTTGAAATGATTAATTTTAAGGTAAGTTGCCATTGTTAACGCCGACGGTACTGGTACATCTAATAGCGATCGGGGAAAATTGATCAAAATTCATGTTGTCTTAATAAAATATGTTTATAATTAGTTACAATGTTATTGCTAATTATAATTGTACTCGTTACCTCATTATGAGCGTATCGTCGTGGTAGCAGAAGATGTTGGTTATTCCAAACGGAAGATCAGAAATTGGTTTCATTTTCTTGTCAGCTTTGATCTGCTTGCCGTGTCTGAATCCCATAGATCTACAAATCGCTCCGGCGGCTGGACCGTTAAAGTGGTCGTCACATCCTGCATACCAATCTCCAGAGGATCCATCAGCGTAATTGTGTCTGCCCCTGACCCGACCAGCGTTCTCCATCTTGCTAAATCCGGAAACCAGCTCAAATTCTATTGTGTACCAATCTTTTGGATCCACACAGTAAGGAAGTTCAAAAGTTCGGTCGCTTCTACACCAGCCTATGTCACCTTTCCAGGTTTCACTCATCATGTACCCACTGTTACACCTGTATCTTGCTTGGTCGACAATATCGTAAATTTCGTTCTTTATTTCTTCCACTCGATATCCGTTTAAAATTTTCTCTGGCATGTTGCAGGGCTCAGGGCTGTCAGGTCGCACACAACGAGGCAGATTCTCAGGATCTGGGGTATTATTTTCTCCATCTATACACTTTCCCCAGCCATATTTTTCCTTGTAATCTTCTTCACTCGCGCTGAATATTTTAGCATTCCTCAGCTCGAATCCAGGATTGCATCTGTATTCTCCGATGTAAGTATATTCTTGTTCATATTCTGAATTCCATTCCCATTCCCTCATCAAGTATCCGTTTTCGATTACGGAAGGGCAATCGTACATCTTTTCACAGCCTGTTGATTGAGATTCACTACGACATTCTAATCTAACGTAAATGTCATCGTAATCCCGAGTTCCGTCCAAGCATTGATACCAACCTCTACGACTTCCCTCCCAATTGACATACTCTCCTACAAGTCTTGCATTTTCCAGCTCCTCGGGAAATTGGCACTCTGCCTTGACACATCTAGGCATATCAGATTGATCGTCCTCAAGAGAACAGGACACCATTCTTTCCCCTTCCATTTCATATCCAGGGTCACATTCGTATTCAGCATACCGACATGGGCTATCCAGATCAGCATGTTTTTTTGCGATGTATCCATTTTCTAATTCCCTGAATACACAGGTGTCCCTCACACAGTTTGGTTGTCTGTTGATTGTATTGTCTGTTGTCTTGCAGTAAACTTTTGCTATATTACACACATCATCACCACCACCCAAGTTGTCTAACCTGTATCCTTCTTCACAACTATATCGATATGTTGTCGCAATATTGTTACAGCCCTCACATAGTTGATTTTCAACCCAATCATTATCACTTATTTTGATTAATCTCCCGTTATCAATATCATGTTGAACCTCACATTCTGGTTCGCACTCTACACTAGATGGCCATACTGCTTGGCAATTGTTGCATCCATCTTCATAACAGCCTGAGCCATCATCAGCAGCAGCATCATCTGCTGCAGCATCATCTGCTGATTCACCACCATCAGCATTATTTTTGCAACTTCGACATGAGTCATCACTGCAATGGAGTTTCACATTTCCGTTTTCGCATAAAATATCGGAGATATCAAGTGTTGTTAATGCTCCGTTTGTAATCCTCAGTCCTCGAGGGATTGATAAGATCATATCTCTCATATGATCCATCATTTCTAGACCTGTTAGCTTGGTCATCTCATACATTCCAAATTTACGGAATGCACCCTCAACTGTCTTACTGACTGTATCCATTTGAAATCTTTCCATTTTCCCGACCTGGGAGAAAAGTGGCAGATAAAAGCCATTAGCCCATACAGTGTCACTTAAGTATTCAGAAAAATCAAAAGACATAGTGAGACGCTTTTCATCATCAGATAAGTTTTCACAGTTTTGACCTTTTTCATCAATCTTATAAATGCCTTCTGTGACAAAACAGGCAACATCTTCCCATTCGAAATCATTCATGATGTCTGACCATGAACGGTCAAAGTCCTTGCAACTGTGTTCATGGATCTCTGAAAATTCTTCCATGACCAGGCACCCTAGCATTTCCAGGTTATAATCTGTAAAATCATCAAGGGACATATCCTCCAAGGAAAACTTGTCAGAACAGAAATTTTCAAATCTCTGTTTAACTTCCATAAATTCACAGAGGTACATTTCTATGTTTGCATTTACTTCATACTCTATATCTGCATCTATGGACGCCCCATAGCCTCCCCACACGCCATCAGAGTTTTTTTCCCTGGTATACCCGCCATTTAAACAACCTTCGGCGCTCTTTGGGACATTATCGAAAACTGTCACACTCTGATAAAAGCCACATGAGTGGCATCTTGGGAAATTGCTTTCAGAATTTATATCGAACCAAGTGCTGTAAGGGCACTTTTGACAGTTGCCGGATTTGGTTAGTCGATAACCACTCTCGGAATCGCAGCTCTCTGAACATTTAAATGATCCATCTGAGTCTATTTTTGGATCCGCTCCACATTCAGAACTGTCTCTGAATTTGTACGAATTTTCTTCCGAGTATTCAAATGATTCTCCGTCGTAGTATTCCACATCCTTTGCTTTATCAAGGTTTGATTCCACAGTTCCTTGCCCGGCATCATCGTCATAGAAAATCAAATGTATCATTATGGCACATTCTCCAGAAATAAGCGTGTTGCAGGTTGTGAAATGTGCCTCACATTCATCACTTTCAAGGCAAGGGAAGGGCCAGTTGTATTGTACAAAATCTCTAAGTCTTGCCTCACCACCAAGACTCATACAGTCTTGAGATTTTCCTACGTATTGGATAAACACACTTTTTTTCAAAGATGGGGCATTCGTGTTATCTTTTACGCATTTGGTTCCCACTCCTTCCCATTCTGCAGAGCGATAACCATCCTCGCAATGTTGGTTTAGGTGAACGTCAACACTCAAGATCTCCTCGTCTTTGACCCTGAGTTGATCGTGATTCATCTTCCACCCAAACTCTTTGAATGTCTCCGCATTATTAAGCATGTCGAAGACGATTCTTGTGTAATGGTCAGCAAGAGAAGCATAGTCATTGATCGAGTCTTTGTAAGCTTTGAATTTCAATAAAAAGCCGTGAGCATGCACTGCAACGTTATTTGGTAGCATAGCCCGAACCTGAAGTTTGCTAAAGTGGTCTTTTTCGTCGTACTCAACAAATGCTTTTGCTTCGTAAAAGCTGATGCCAGATGCCTCCTTGAGAATATCATTCAAGAAAGACCAGTCACCAGTCATGTCAACTTCTACGGAAACCTCACTTTGAAAAGATCCTTCTCCAAACATTTCATCAGGATCAACGCAATCGCTTTCTTGTGTAGACCCAACCTGAAAAGTTGTTCCAACGTTGCAATATCCATAACAATATCCCTGCTCCTGGCCGTCTTCAAATTCGTCTGATGGACATGGAATGCATCTTGACTTTAAACCAAAATCGTCATCGTCTGCGAAATGACCTGCCGAACATGGTTTACAGTGACCGTTTGTGAAATCCCCTTCCCAGCCATGGCCATCTGGACACTTCATAACATGCTGGAATGGTAGCATCCAGTATTCTTCATCCCAGAAAAATTCGTCTTTATCTGTGTCTAAATCTGAAACGTAACTATTTTAAATCCACTCTTTCGTGATTCATTTTGAGCGTTTTGATCATAAAGATTCGAGACTCGAAGTTTTTACCGAGATCGGCTTCATGGAATTCATTTTCGGTAGTTACACAAGCTTGAACTTAAAGCCGACTTAAGTTACATTTGAACCAATTTTTAAAACTTTAAAGATCCATCCAGGTTGGTGAGTGAAAACGTCCGGATTGGTGAGTGAGAATGTCCGGGTTGGTGAGTGAGAATGTCCGGGTTGGTGAGTGAGAATGTCCGGGTTGGTGAGTGAGAATGTCCGGGTTGGTGAGTGAGAATGTCTGACGTCCCATTATTAGAACCAGGAAAATACATTGGTATCCTGGCCGGGAAATAAAATATTTGACACGTGACGACTGACGGCGATTCTGAGAATTGATTGATCAATGTTGGAAGCTGATTGGTTAATGGCTGTCAATTTTCTTTAACATCTACTTTTTCCATAACGGCTTTTGGGCTACAGCAGTTGTACCTTACTATAACGCGCATCAAGGGGAGAAAGAATTTAGATACAAATTCTGTGTCATAGCGAGGTTCGCGTAATGTGTTATATAAGCAAGGTTTGATCTTGGAGGTGCATTATCACATATTATATCGCTTGTAAAACAAGCAGTTCTGAGGAGTTACATGCATACAGGTGCAATGTTTGGTGCACATATTGCATTCACTTGATGTTCTTATATATTGGAAGATCTCCGTTCGTATTTGTATGATAGGCAGGTTGAGCCAGTGCTATCCTGTTGTGTATGTTTGCGTGGGCTACGTGGAACTGAAATGCACGGTTGGGGCCCAGCCGCCCAGTGTCTACTCATAATCCTGAATCCTTATCATTTAATTACCGAATCACAAATAACACCTCTAAAAATTGTATGCCGTGAAACAATACTGTTATATTATGGCAATATACTATTTGTCTTCCAACGTTGTGAGTTTGGTCTCAATTTGGGCACTAGTAGTAGTGGGCTTCTAACGTGGAGATATACAATGTAATGCGCACCAGACAAGAATTTTATTCTTACCTAAGGTGTCTGCGTAGTCTTCAATCCTTTCAAATATCGCATTCACAGAGTTTTGATCCTCTGCCATATCCTCAGCCTCTTGAGCCATAGTGCACTGTAATAACAGTGCTAAACACAGTGCTCCAAGCATGCCAGCAAAATTTGTGTGTCCAGAATATCTCTCCGAACTTTCTTGCTAGGAATATTTGAAACTTTCAGGCTTGTATCACTATTTGTAAGCATCATAACTACCGACGCTTTACTAATAGTATGAACAACTGTTGGTCCACTAAATAGGAATAATAAGCACAATGAAAACAAGGTGAAAAGTTCGAGGGTTTAGAAATTTTAAAATAAACTTAAAAGCGTTAAGAGAAATACGCCTGTCTGACCGAATTTTAAAAATGTCTGATACCAATGACCACACGATAAGATGATACCGGGTTCGCCACGTCATCTATCAGGAACAAACTAAACTCTCGCAAAAACTCTTCGTTTTGTCTTGATCCACGTTCCTACATATATATATATTATAAGATCCGAGAATTTATTACGACTGCCTTAATAACCCAACCGTTGAATGGAATTTTTATTTCGTTCATTTGTCACAACTCAAGACATTCCTTGACATACGTTGCATGCCACTTTTCGCGCGCAAAACATGTATCAAGACATTCCAATGATAACTGATAAAATTTAGAAATATGACACAAAACTGAAGTATAACACGCAAATTCCTCCGTATTTAGTGTAAAAGATATAAACAATGTGAATCAGAGGTAAAACGGAACTAGGCTACCATAACCAGTACCAATTCCGATAATCGTAACCGATAATTATCTCCGATAATTCGTTTAAAGAAGTTATCTGTTTATCTAGATAAAATATATTTTTATCGGTATAAAAATTCAATAGAAATTATCAAAAAATACTGCCACAATACAGTGAAATTTGAAGGAATTTTTAGTGGTTTTGCCTCTCTCTGTTGCCAAGTAATCCAAGAAACAGTCCCAAACGTCTTCTACTATTCTAGTATGATAAAAAAGGGGTAGTTTAGTTTAGTTTTTCATCATCATCATACATATGGAGTATTGATGAACTGTAGAAATCCAGAGAAGGTTATTGACATTGTTCTCTTGAGGATGGTGCTGGTATTTTACCTTATAATCATTCTATTTGGAGACAGGCAAGAGAATGTTACTGTTAACAGGAATCAGGAATACCGGCGCGGCATGGCACTCAATTGAATTCCGGAAGAGTTCAGGGTGATAAATTGTTTTCAGGGGAAGGATCTGTTGCTCCAAATTATCAACAGCTGAGACTGGAGAAGGAATTACAGTTTGCTGATGCTCTACTGTTCATGTTATCAGGAGAAAGAAAATATTTCGAGAAGAATGTACTGTTTTGAAGAGAATTGGTGCGCTACTGTTCTCGGGATAAGGAAACAAGCACTCTACTGTTTTGAAGAGAACTGGTGCTCTACTGTTCTCAGGAGAAGGAACCCGGTGGTCTACTGTTGTGAAGAGAACTGGTGCTCTACTGTTTTCTGAAGAATGTGCACCCCTGTTCTCAGAATAAGAAAGCGTTAACTGCTGCACTAGTATTTGAAGAGAATTGGTGCACTACTGATTCCCGGAGAAGAAAACTGATGAGCTTTAATATCTTCAGAAAAAAGGAAGTGGTGCTGTACAAAATTTACCAGTAAACAGTGATAAAAGTGAACAATTACTTTGATTGAAATTTAGAAAACATTTTGGCTTTTGCCTTCAGCAGAAAATTATCGCTTTTGTCTAGATAAAACCTATATCGTTATTTATGTATCTAGATAAAAAATTGCATACCGATAATGGATATATGGACACGTTCATTGAAGTTTGAGGATATTGGTAAATATTAGTGACCCTACTGAATGGCACGATGATGTAAAATGTGTCACACTATGAAACTATATAAACCCTCTAACCCTAAGATAATCGTTTCATCCTCTAGATAAACTTTGTTGCATAACGATATCTTTATCAGACGATAAGATATCGCTTAAATGCGGCCGGCAGTGGGTTGTAAACTTTGTCACACTATAAAAACGTGACGGAGTTTATATGGACCCCTTGTTACCGTGTTTGACCAAATTTTCGAATTTCCAATTCATAGAATAGCTGTATATGACTATTATCTACATATTTAGCGACTTTTTGCCTTAAATGGTAGCACCATGTAAACTCCGTCACACATTTAAGAAATTTATATGAGGGATGTTTATGACATCCTGACAAGAAATGCCGAATAGTCTAGCATTATTTTGTGAGCTGAATGTGTTTGGAATTGTTCACATATTTCATTGTTATAGGCAAATACAAATACAGAAGGCAGAAATAGGTAAATTTAGTCACATAAATTTGTATGATATCTCAACATGTGTGAAATTGAGTAAATATTAGTATACCAACTTAAACACCCTATATTACGTACTATGGATCAATTAACTATATTTCAACCATACGCCGGTCATATAAATTATTATATGGCAGTGATATGTTAACATTGGATAAATTTCAACACCTGAACAGGGTAAAAATTTGTAAATTTCGTCACAAAAAAAATATTATAACTTTATTTGCTCCGTGTTGGCAAAATAACTAATTTATCGACATAGTGAATAGTGATGGTGATAAAGTAACATTATATACTAATTGAGGTATGATTCTTCAAAAAAGGGGCAAGAAATGTAAATTTCGTCACATCAGCCATTGCATTAGTTAGATAGATTTTCTTTCATATCAACTGCCCTTATTATAGTTGGAATGGATTTATACAGGAAATATAGAAACCCATGCCCATTTTTCATCACATTGAAATTATACTGTTGGGGCAGGAAAAGTAAATTTCGTCACATTTCGGTAAATTAGTGATATCAAACTCAACATTGTTAAACTTGAGTTCTGATTTGCTGAAAAATAACCTACCAATAATTCCTGGAAGAATATTGAATTCTAATCGGGGTATGGTTCTTCAAAATAGGGTCAAGAAATGTAAATTTCGTCACATACGTCATTGTAAAATTTAGATACATTTTCTTTCACATCAACAGTCCTAATTACAGTTTGAAATGATTAATTCAGAGATTAAGGAAATATAGAAACCCATGCCCATTTTTCATTACATTGAAATTATACTTTTGGGGCAGGAAAAGTGAATTTCGTCACATTTCGGTAACTTAGTATAATTAAACTCAGAATTGTCAAACTTGAGTTCTGATGATCTGCTGAATAATAACCTACTAATAATTCCTGGAAGAATATTGAATTCTAATCGAGGCATGTTTCTTCAAAATAGGGTCAAGAAATGTAAATTTCGCCACATCAGCCATTGCATTAGTTAGATAGATTTTCTTTCATATCAACTGCCCTTATTATTATTGTGACAATTTTTACATCAACTGCCCTTAACTTGAATCAGCTCTATCCGTGCATCGTCCTTATATACAGTTTTCCCGCCTTCCAAACCAAAATCAGATATAAATGATTTCGGCAATTCACCCAAAATTTTAAATTCCATATAATGTGACAGAATTTACATCATTTCCCAATAAGTGCATGTATTTGCTAACTTTTCAAAACAACATATTTTAGGGCTATGATTGGTAGAAGAACCATCGAATTATGAGTTGAAAGGGTTTTTAGGACACCTCACAGTAGAAAAGAGGTATCGTATTCTGAGTGTGACAAAGTTTACGAAATATTGCCTTAAAACCGTTCGATCCCTGCCCTTTAGCCAAATGTTGTATCATAATTGTTAGAATGACCTAATCTACTATATTTTAAACCAAAAAATGCTAATTGGGCAGCTATGGTTAACACAGTCACAAAAATGTGACATTTTTTACATTACAGTGCCTAAAAACAATAAATTGTATTTCTGAGCCGTGTATATGGAGGTATGGGTCACGTGGCTAATGTCCAGAACTTCTGAACACGCTATTTTTTTTGGTTTACCAATATCCTTAAACTTCAACATGAACGTGTCCATTTACGATTTCGTATAATTTTGTGACGATGTTTAGTGTTTACATCAACTGCCCTATACTTCAATCAACTGTATCCGTGTATCGTCCTCATATAGAGTTTTCCCGCCTTCCAACCCAAAATCAGATATAAATGATTTCGGAAATTCACCCAGAATTTCAAATTCCATATGATGTGACAGAATTTACATCATTTCCCAATAGCTAAGTGCATGTATTTGTTAACTTTTCAAAACAACATATTTTAGGGCTATGATTGGCAGAAGAACTATCAAATAATGAGTTAAAAGGGTTTTGAGGACACCTCACAGTACAAAAGAGGTCTCGTATTCTGAGTGTGACAAAGTTTACGAAATGTTGCCTTAAAGCCGTTCGATCACTGCCCTTTAGGCCTACATTGTATCATAATTGTTAGATTGACCTAATCTACTATCTTTTAGACCAAAAAATGCTAATTGGGCAGCTATGGTAAACAATGTCACAAAAATGTGACATTTTTTACATAATAGTGCCTGAAAGCAATACATTTTATTTTTGAGCAGTGCATATGGGAGTATGGGTCACGTGGCTAATGTTCAGAACTTATGAACACGCTAGATTAATATATGTTAAAATCAAACCACTATCGTCAAAAACGCTGTTTTAGAAATTTACCAATTTCCTCAAACTTCAATGAACGTGTCCATATAGTCTAAACGGAACAGAGAAATAATCAATACGTTGCGAAATTCGCTATGTTACACGTTCTTTGAAATCGAAACGTCGAATTAAGATCACGTACGGCGTGTGCACTCCTCGTTATTCGTTTGTGCTAATTCGATTCGAGAAACTAAAAACAGGGTAACTGTGTAAGCAAACGGCTACTCTGGGTTCATGAAATAGTGCTAAGTATTATTTTCAAAACTATTTTCAAGGAGCGAATAAACGCCTAATGAAGAACTAATAGAGTGGCATGAAAATATGATTACGCTCTACGCTGCTCATTTCTTTGAGAGGTTAACCCATCTCTTCTTTCATCCAACATCGCTCAAAACGGCCAATGAGTATAGGAAACGAATTAAATCTTGATAAACAGTTGTTAATCACCATGGTGATTCAAATAATAAAAGATAGCTGTAAAACTCAAATTAGAAAATGTATCGTGGGGCCAGATTCTAGGGCTAAGGTCGAGAGACTCTAGGGCGGATCCTTCAAAAATAGGACTCCAAGTCTAAGGGCGGGGCGTGGAGACATGAAAAATAGGACTCTCTAGAATGGCAACAAAAATTATCATATTTTCGATTGATTTAATTGTTTTTAGTTCACTTAGGTTATCTGTAGCTGTAGAGTGTAGAAGTTGGAGAATGTGGAGGAGTCAGAAATCAGAATCGAATAATTTTATGCTAAAGCTGTGTGTCCACTTATATTTAAATGCCGCTTGATCAGATCGTAATATAAAGCTGCAATTTCGGCTGAGCAGATCGTCATAACGACCCTGTCGGATAAGACATTGTCATTGCAACGGCAAGAATAAACCGATTACTATTAGGCATTGGAAGTCATAATTAGCCTAGCTAGTAAGAACTAATATGGCATTGGAAAAAATACATGGAGCCTGCGAGCCTTGCAAGCAGGGACATTCAAAATGTGACGAATCTGGATGGCGTCCATAGTAACATAGATGTGTTGAACTGACTGGCCTATCATGCAAGTCACGCTTATAATTGCATTAACGTGACTGAAGTTATTTTAAAGAATTTATTAGTCCAGTCCTATATACTAAGCTAGGAAGTTATTGTGTATGTGAATGTAAGGGGACCATTGGGAAGCCTGAAAATCAATATGTCCAAATACTCGTTTTTATAATTTATTATGACACATTAACGTCACTTTAGTTATTATTTCGGAATGAAATGTGTTGGTTTTGGGTAGGAAGTAGGTAATTGTAGGTGGTGTGGTAGTCAGTGTTCAGGTGGTGTGGTAGTCAGTGTTCAGGTGGTGTGGTAGTCAGTGTTCAGGTGGTGTGGTAGTCAGTGTTCAGGTGGTGTGGTAGACAGTGTTCAGGTTGTGTGGTAGACAGTGTTCAGGTTGTGTGGTAGTCAGTGTTCAGGTGGTGTGGTAGTCAGTGTTCAGGTGGTGTGGTAGTCAGTGTTCAGGTGGTGTGGTAGTCAGTGTTCAGGTGGTGTGGTAGTCAGTGTTCAGGTGGTGTGGTAGTCAGTGTTCAGGTGGTGTGGTAGTCAGTGTTCAGGTGGTGTGGTAGTCAGTGTTCAGGTGGTGTGGTAGACAGTGTTCAGGTGGTGTGGTAGTCAGTGTTCAGGTGGTGTGGTAGACAGTGTTCAGGTGGTGTGGTAGACAGTGTTCAGGTGGTGTGGTAGTCAGTGTTCAGGTGGTGTGGTAGACAGTGTTCAGGTGGTGTGGTAGTCAGTGTTCAGGTGGTGTGGTAGACAGTGTTCAGGTGGTGTGGTAGACAGTGTTCAGGTGGTGTGGTAGTCAGTGTTCAGGTGGTGTGGTAGTCAGTGTTCAGGTGGTGTGGTAGACAGTGTTCAGGTGGTTTGGTAGTCAGTGTTTCAGGTGGTGTGGTAGTCAGTGTTCAGGTGGTGTGGTAGACAGTGTTCAGGTGGTGTGTAGTCAGTGTTCAGGGTGGTGTGGTAGTCAGTGTTCAGGTGGTGTGGTAGTCAGTGTCAGGTGTGTGGTAGGCAGTGTTCAGGTTGTGTGGTAGTCAGTGTACAGGTGTGGTAGTCAGTGTTCAGGTGGTGTGGTAGTCAGTGTTATGGGTAGGAAGTCATTGTTCAGGTGGTGTGGTAGTCAGTGTTCAGGTGGTGTGGTAGTCAGTGTTCAGGTGGTGTGGTAGTCAGTGTTCAGGTGGTGTGGTAGTCAGTGTTCAGGTGGTGTGGTAGTCAGTGTTCAGGTGGTGTGGTAGACAGTGTTCAGGTGGTGTGGTAGTCAGTGTTCAGGTGGTGTGGTAGACAGTGTTCAGGTGGTGTGGTAGTCAGTGTTCAGGTGGTGTTTTGGTTATTTCAGAAAATATTTTAACGGACTGATAATGAACTTTCTTACAAGTACTATTTCAGTTTTGTATGCTGACATCGTTAATTTCACCCTGATATCTTCATATCACTCTGCTACTGAAGTTGTCAACCTGCTCAATTACCTGTTTTGTCTCATTGACAAACTCACAGATAAATATGAAGCTTTCAAGGTTCGTTCGATGTAATTAATTTGCATATTTTCTGCATATTTCAATTTACTTTAAATTATTTAGTATTCGGTATTTAGTCCTAACAAAAACATATATTAACTCCGATAAAGCTGGGTTAAACAGATTTGTAATCTAATAAACATATTTCAACTCCTAGGCCGACACTGTAGGTGATGCCTACGTAGCGGTGACTGGCTTGCCAACATGTGGAAGCAAAGCGACAAGCGAGAGTGTGACTAACATTGCCCACTTGGCTCTAGAAATGTTGGGACAGCTAAATAATCTGGACCACGAGAATGAATCCATGTGCGAGGTGGGTTTACAGTTTGGATCAATGGCGTAACTAAGGACCCCCCAGACCCCGCTACGCGGGAGGTGGTCCGCTATCAAGGGGGGGGGGGTCACTTTTTCCCCGAATTGTAAGTCTTTTTTACGAAAAATCGTCTGGTTTGGTAGCAAAATGTACCATATTCCGGCCAACTTAACGTTAAATCCGACGCAAAAAAACAATAAGGTTGATATTGAATAGATTAATGTTCAATATTCATGTACAAGAGCCTTATGGCCTGCAATAAGCTTTAAAGTTGAAACGCGATCACAATTTTCGTATGTGCAAATTCTAAAAACAACGTTGATATTGATTATATACCTTATTGGACATTATTTGACCGGACATTGCCTGAACGGGCATTATTTTGAAAGAACATTAAAATCAACGCTTGAAAGCATTCATTTAATGTATTTAATTTAAATACCTCGTCGAACTTTATTTGAACGGACATTGAAATGAACGCTAGGGCCTCCAGCGTCCGATTAACGTCCGTTAAAATAAAGTCCGATAAGGTATATTTATTATGTATAATATAGAGCCCGTGGTCACAGGGATGATTTAAATTATACCCAAACGGCCTAGTTCAGGTTAATAAACTTTTTCTTTGCTACATATGGATGAAACCACAGATAATCATTATGTTTACTTTTATTCTCCAAACAGTTATCTCCTTCAATTCTACTTATCACCTCATCAGACACTTTCCAATGATGATGGTCACAATAAATTCCTTTTTAATACAGTCCTTTTTAAAATATTCTAGATTTATCTTAAAATTATTTACACTATAAGAATTCTTAACATCCACTGGTAGTATAGGGCATCCACTGGTAGTATAGGGCATTCCAATAAGGTATAACTTTCTCAGATAGAAAAGCTTTACGAAGATTTCTTAATTTAGAGCTTTTGATATTGCACTATACCTTTGAAACAATATTCATACCCGATCTACTAATATTGAAAATATCCGAACCATATTCTACTAAACCACTGACTATTTTAAAGGTTTCTATAAGATCCCCACGGATTCTTCTAAGCTAATATTAATATAGGATTCTTTTTTGAAAGTTCGGTCACAGGCCTGTTTTGGTCACGTGACAGCAGACAAGCTTGTAAACCAAAAATTCGACTGTGTAGAGTTGGGGTCGTTTTTAAGGTTTTGGTTAGCTTCGGGGTTAGGGTTAGGGTTATAATTATGTAAAACTGTTTTGTTCGGCTGCAAAACCGTAAAAACACATCACGTGATAATTTTTGGGCGAGCGAAATAATAAGAGCTAAACCTCAAAGCAAGCCAAATCCTGATTATCTACTGCTTATTTGTGACACATTTTACATCAATGTATTTATTGTATTACAATTGCATGTATACGAAAGCAAAATATCTACAATGAGGCAACAACATGATTTATAAAGGTTAGGAAAATATTAATAAAACTCAACACTACCAGACTGCAGCTGGAGTAAGAAAAATGTATGTAAAACATTAGTAAAATTTATTTCGGCTTAACCAAAACACTGCAGTCAAACCATAATGACATTCATGCCGATTCAAGATAATGAATATAACGATTTCGTGCCAGGTGAAACTCCGGATAGGCCTTGCAACTGGACCAGTCTCTGTGGGAATGATCGGAATGAAGATTCCTAAATATTGTGTTTTCGGTGAGACGGTTAACTTGGCCACTGCGATGGAAGAGCGCAGTCAAGGTAACAAACGTCGTTAATTTGTATACAGAATATATTGAAATACTACCTCACTCTATTTTCGATCGCTCTAATTTGTTTATGATCATATTGTTTGTCCCGTTCATAACTATTGGCCTTTATCTTCGTGGACCCAAAATTCTTGCACGAACCGCATGTCATACTCATATTCCTAACGTAAGTTGGTAATTCGTATTTTATCCATTCTTGCATCACGTTTTTCAGCTATGAGGATCCTGATTACTAAGTATACTCGAAATTTCCTGGCGGACACGGGAATATTTGAGACGCTCTTCCGCGGACAGTTCAAAATCGTAAGTTAATTCCATTGTATAGAAATGTATGCCATTTTATGCCATTTTGGAGTTTAAAATAAAAAAAACCAATCTTGTCATAGTTTGAGCCTTAGAGAACGATATAAATTGAATTTAATATTCATCTAGAATCTAATTATATCATCTTAAACGCCAAAATGTAATTTTTTGCCATTTTTATCGTATTTTCGACTTTTAAAATTTTTCATAAATTCGGTACTAAACGCGAGTTTTTTAATTAAGCACGTTATATTTTAACCACACAAATTTACAGAATTAAAACAGGTCACTCCGCTTGAATGAATACGTATTCTAATTCTATGTTGTAATACGTGTTAATAAAAATTCGAATTTAGTTGAAGCGATTCTTGTACAAAATATTTTGAAATAACGTATAGTTATGAAGTCCACGCAGAACAATACTGCCGGGCAGAAGATAGTGGTTGAAAATATATAGGCATTTAACGTTTATCTTAACCTAAACCTAATTATAAATCTCGTAAAGACAAGCGTGAGTTTTTAACATTGACGTGGTAGTATGCAGGGACGTAGCCAGGATTTTTCTTTGAGGGGGGCTGTCGGCGAGCGAAGCGAGCCGACGTATCCAATCCAGCTGCGCAGCGAGTGAAGCGGGCAAGCTGTGGCAAGGGTCTGGGGGCGGAGCCCCTTGGCGGGGGCTAGGGGGGCGCAGCCCCCCGGAAATTTTTTGCGAAACAGGGTGTTTTAGACGACATTTGGCATTAAAGAAATTTGTAGGACAGCAATAAACTGGGATTGAAAAGAATCAAGTACTCACGTAAATTTGGTAACTTCACAACAGCAATCTGCATTCTCCAATCAGAATTTACGACTTACTCAGGCCTCATCGTCTTAAGATTTTTACATTTCCTACGGTCTAGGGGACACTATTGACTATTTATAGAAGTCTTCTAGAATGTTTGCTTGGATGTTATGACAGATATTTACTAATCCACAGTTCAAATCTTTGACTGACTGCAGTCATAAACACAGCCCAGTTACCAGGCGACCATGGGGACTAGGGGGCTTATCTTTTTTCTGGGGTTCGATTTTTTCCGGGGGGGGCTGCCGCCCCCCTAGCCCCCCCTGTTTACGTGCCTGGTAGTATGGAGCATCACTAAACTATTACTAAGTATGGAGCTCTCGACAGATAAAGTGAATAAAGGCAAATAACTTGCGAAAACTAAATGAAATCTTAGTGTTACACAACAAATAAAACACGCGCAATTTAGAATTTATGTTATATATTTGCATAAAATTATTGGAATGGGAGACTGCCGTACGGGGAACCATATGATCTGTTCATGGGACCGTGAGACATCGGGTCACAAGCAGAAAATAAAAGGGAAATATTTTTCGAACTAGAGTGCGCTACCTGGACTCCAGTTTGACACGTAAGTTCGACTGGGCTGATTTCTGGCGAACTTAAGCGAGCGTGTTAAATCACTCTACAATCGATCTTCGAATTTTTTTTTTTTTTTTCGAATCATATACTTATATAACTAGTGAATTAATTGAAGCCAAGAACTGTAAGTCAGGTTCCGTGTAACGGGCAAACTTTCAGACTTTGTAACCTAATTTTTGGTGATAAGCCGGAAGCCTGCTTATTGCTGTTTAATATTTGGTATATTATTGGTATATATTTATTATTTGCAGGCTCTATTACTATTTCAATTTGCAATAGAGCCTTCCGTATACGCGAAACTCATTGAATCGCACGACCGAAGATTACCCTCCCGATGATCATGAACTACAACTTAATCTATATTTTTGCAATATACTCATATACGAGAAAGCGAATAGATCAACGGTAAAGAAGTCATCCCTCGCCTAGAGTCATCAATCTCATCATTGCCGTGGGCATTAAAATTGGCCCCTGCTACCTCCACACTGACAACACACATCCGGCGGCCTCAGAGCTAATAATACGGGCACGTTTAATAGTATTAAAATTTCGGAAAATGTTCGGTATTCGGTGATCCGACGAGCGTGCTAAATCACTCTACAGTCGATCTTCGAGATTGTTCTAAAAGGGCCCCGACAGTTGAAACTAACTTTAAAATGCTCCCCTGACATGATATTGGCGAAAAACTGTCTCGATCACGTGATATGACCGTATTAAGAAGTTAGTCTAATTTCTCGTTAGGGTTAGGGTTTCAGCATATGATTTTGTTTAGGATTGGGTTAGGGTTAGGGTTGGGATCAGATTAAAGGGTTAGGGTTTCGAATAGTCGTTCAGGACCAGCTAGAGAACGGGTTGAAAAAGTCACGTGACAGTCGAGTGTAGAGTGATTAATTATCATCCGTGATCCGAACATATTCGGTCAAGCGAATATTAAAATACTCGGCCGACCGAATATATTCGATAGCGAATACCGAATACTACCGAATACCGAATATTTGAAGATATGGTAACCCTAGTCGGGACATAATCTCTCAGTTTCATGCATTCTTATAGTACGGCACCAGTCAGTCGGGCACGTGGTCACCGAGTGACGCAGTCACGAGGTACAGTCAGCTGATAAATAACGTGACCAATATTAGCCAGCGAGAAGGGCTGGATTACATGCTTAAGCAAAATTAGATTCACAGCTCACAATTCACATCCCTATGGTACGGCACCAGTAAGTCAGGCACGTGGTCACCGAGTGACGCAGTCACGAGGTACAGTCTAACAGTCAGCTGATAGATAACGTGACCAATATTAGCCAGCGAGAAGGGCTGGATTACATGCTTAAGCAAAATTAGATTCACAATTCACATCCTTATAGTTTGAGTAAACATGAAGAGTTGGCCAAGCTTAAAATATGAAATATTAAGCGTCTTCTTTGATATCGATACTTACCACTTACATTTATTCCGTACTGTACTCAATAAATGTAACTCACGTGACAAAAGTGCGCTGTCCAATAGCAGTTAGTTAAGCTGTCATGTGACAACCACGAGAGTAACACGATGGTAGCAGCATGGTAGGATGCTCATTGGACAATGAACACTTTAATTGTGTCCGAAGTAGATACAGTTTTTTGCCAATTTGACACGGTTAGACTGCACCAAATTTCAAAATTTTGGTCGAAAAATGTTCCCAAGACAACTCTTGTCTTGACTCTTGTGCCGTACCATAAGCAATTTATAAAACTTACCTTATTACCCTAGCTTCTGCAGGTCTATTTTACCCATATATACAGACTTTTGGCCCACCCTGTATAATATATATATTGCAAATGATATGGCAAAGTGTTGTTGCGGTAATAGCGCAGTTCTGCAGCCGACATAAACAAGTGTAACCGTTAATTTTGTCACAAGAAAACTTAAGCTTAGTAAGGAAATAAAATAAAAAATCGTAGTTTCCCGCTCAGAACCTGAACAGTGTTACAATCAGGACGATACAATAGTAGACACGTATTGGCTGGTGGGGAGCTCCTGCATCGACAAGGGTCTCGACATATTCAACAGCAACCAGAACAAGAAGGGGGGAGGAGTCCTGAACAAGCGTATAAAACAGAAACAGATGGACCAAGTGCCGCCTCCCTACGAAGACGCAACCCCGATGGTTCCTGTAGTGAGTGGGGTAGAAACACAGCCTCAAGGTAAAGATCGGCTGACGACAGTTCTCGGATCTGCTGTGATTGGTGGGGAAAAGGAAATCCCTGTTTCTGAAACATAAGGAAACTGTTTTACCAGTGTATTGTTGCGATATTACTGATCACAAGAATGATTTAATAGACCTCCTTCGAGAGCTTACTAAAACTCCATGAAATGTGCCGGCTTGTAAATTGTTTCAACTTTGAAGACCAAAACTTGGTTATGAGAAATTTACCTTTAAAACTTTGATTTGAATTACGTTTTGCGCAGTGTGCTGGTTTTAAGTAACAATTGATAATCGTCGCTTGCTGAACGCATACATGTGTCATTATTTACAAATAATACAGTATAAAATTCAGAATATACAATTTACTAAAAACTCAGCTACAAGGCTAGCAGCACAGTTATTTGCTCTCCGACAATGTCTTATCTTACAAAATATGGGAGTAACATATATAATTGCGGAACTAAGAAACGATTTGCAAAACTGGTGACGAATCCACAGTAAGGTTACTTTTCGGAGATGATAGCAAAAGAATGTCCATATAGTGGAGTACCTCCTGTACTAATGTATCTAGTGTTCAGAGGACGTTACATTTGGCACAGCAGCCTTCATCTTGCTCTGGTGGTGGAGGGGGTGGTGGTGGTGGTGGTCCACCGTCTGGGGGTTTCATTTTGAATTAGTTTATAAATCTATAAATCATTTGACTAGTGAAATTCCAGTCACGTTTGGTTGATACGAAACTGTTTTCATTTCATATTTTGTGGTATAAATGAAGAAAGAACTTTCAAACATCTTCTATCGTTCTATAAAAATAATTAAGGCAAGTTTTAAAATATGAACCGAGACAAGTTTCTGAACCAAATTAAAGAAAAAATATAATTCCAAACAATCTACAGCCACTAAAAGTGCGAAAATAAAAAGGCTGAAGTATTTGCAATAAGTTTTAGAGTCCTTGATCAGTCGCTCACACACACACGCCATATGATGATTACGCTTAAAGTTAAAACGCATCAGAGCCAATAAAAAATCGGCCGACGATCACTGCTTAGCAATTTAAACTCAGTCCGCTCCCTTCTTGGGTGTTAATGTGTTCACTTTGCTAAGTCGGTCATTGCACCTAGTTCTAATTCAATAAGTCCGGCCAAACCCCATAACCAGGAGTTCAGGACAAGTTCTGAAAGTATCGGGTGATGGTTGTGATGTTGGGTTGCTCCGCAAAGGAACCGTACAACACTCTAAAGTTAAACTTGCTCTGCATTTGATTAGAGTTTCTGCCCCGGAGTTTGGATCGTCGTAGGACGTGTGTGTAAAACCTTCACAACAGAATACAGCACCCCTGTTCACTAGGGGGCTCTGCTTCGGGTCCCCCATTATTTCCCACCGGTGCTGCCTCTCCCTCTGCCCCTGCGAATATGTGAGCTTTAGAAGGTGCTTTGTGAGTTTGAAAGTTGCTTGTGAGATTGTGGTGAAATCTCTTTGTCAGAAAGGCGTTATATTTATAGCTAGCTTATCAGTTATAATTGTGTAATAACCGATATTTTAACTTCTCACCTCCTTCTTGGGGCTTTGGTTCGTCTTTTTTCTCAGCTGCAGGTTTAGGTTCAGGTTCTTTAGAGCCTCCTGGGGCTGGGGTGCCCCCTGGTTTTCCTCCTTCTGGCATTCTATACAAAGATATAAAGTTTGGTTCGTGCTAAACAATAGATAGCTGACAAGATTTTATATTGAAAATGCAAATCGTTTTATTTCACCTTATCTTATATGTTTTAGGTGAATCATTAACGAGTCAGTAATGAATAACATTGTCAAATTTTAATCGAGCAAACATTCTTTACGCTTCTTTCAGCAGGGATTTAAGTTACACATTAAATTTTCAATGAGCAGTAAATAATGTTATCTTGAAGCGAATCTGGATTTTGGTCCATATAAAACACAGCCATTTAACTCCATAGAATTCTTCTCCACAGCCGGGCTGCCGGGCTATCAGAGGATGATGCAGCAGCCTTTGTCCTCTTGTTCCCCCTCGTGATGTCCACCTTCTCCGCCGCCTCCATGACCTGCGATTCATTGGTAGTTGCACGCTTTATACTGTGAGAATGTGTTTTATGCTGAGACTAAAATTAAATTATTTCTCGTATGAGATCGAAAATTCAATCTCCGACTGTACTGGGAAAATTCAAAGTTAGCGGTTGATAATACCGAATAAGAGGACTAAAAGCACATTTGAATTCCAGAATAACAAAAAAAGTGATTCCAGCCGCCAACTTAAAACCTTCTTGCCTTAAAGATATGGGAAAGATATGAACAAAAATTGGAATGGGTTAAGCCGAAGCGTGAGGATTTCACCCTGATCAATTCATGAAAAAGGTTCATAACTCACCGCCACCACCACCACCACCACCGCCTCCATGACCTTGTTCACCACCACTTCGTCCACCACCTGGCATTTTGTACGCTTGCTAGAGAAAAGATACTTTTCAGTAATAAATAATTAAATTATGGCTGCTTTGATGATTTAATCATGATTCATGACAAAAGGTACGGGAAAAAATAAATAAATGATATAATAAAAAATAAATAAATAATATACCTTAAGAATAAAATGGTGTGATGAATGCATATATGTATGTAATTTCATAAATCTTCATTTCAAATATTATCAATAAAATTAAAACTGAAGTCTCAAGAATTAACTAATATTTTTAAATTTATTCGCTCTGACACATGAATAGATACTTATTACAAAATAGCACTCATATGCAAACTTTCCAATGTCCATCTGACGTATTTCAAATTAGAAAAATGTCATTATGTCCGGTTTATCAGCTTTGGCGGAAATCTTCTCACCGACTGTTGGCTACAAAATAACACAGCAACAACCTGATTGAAATGGTAAGTTTGTAACATTTATCAGATAATGGTAACCACTGGCTGTGATGCTTTTGAATAAAACTCAAGCGTATAAACATGTGCTCAATTAGTGCTGTCAACTTACAGAGCAGACACGGACATGACTCCAGTGAGCACGACTTGGATCCTGGTAGCCCTTTTCAAAAATGAGCTGATACGACGGAGACCGAATACAAAAAGGTGGAAGTAAAAAGACGTTTTTCTGTCTTTTTTAGTTTAGGTGCTCAGCAAACACGCCCAATGTAAATTGGAAAATAATAACTTAATAAGTTAATAACTAATTACAGTGGCTTAGTGGCTATTTCATATGTTTTGAATGAGCAAAATATGATAGACTGCCCCTTTTAGTTTCATCAGAAGTTTGAATATTTCCTTTTTGCTCATATCACCTATTGAAATTTGAAAACAATATTAGATTCAGCGTCCGGGTTCCCCGATTCTACTGAATACAGAACAAATGTGCTGTAGAGTTTAGACGGACAACTTTCTAACCCACCTCGTCTTTCTTCGTGATGTCCACTGTGACCGTGTCCACCACCGTGACCGCCGCTGTGTCCACCGGGAGGCATTTTTTCGGTTACTTATCTTGCTAACAAAAATAGAGTTAGTTGACTACATAATATAATTTGGTTTTAAAAAGCTTCAAAAGTGAGCTAAACTGTTCAATTGTCGTGAATTTTCCCTTTATAAATGACGAAAATATCATTTCCAATCGTAAAATCGTAAAAGTATCTTACATAACAAGATAGAATAATAACTTACTACAATTAGTTCTGAATAACTCTCGTTTATTTCAAATAAATCTTATCTATCGAAGAATATATTTCTTGTAAAATCAAAAATGTTTATGTAAAATGTAAATATAAGCCAAAGCGACGATGATAGTAAAATATTGTCAACTGGAAGTTTAAATTAACGATAGCAAAAAGCAAAACCACTATAAATTCGAGATTTAAAATATTGATGCGACAAGTCCTGCTTGAGTTATCAAATAATAACACAGCAAAGTGGTTCCCTCCTGCGTGGGGGAGGTGGTGGGTGAGGAGGGTGACCTGGAGGTGGTGGGTGAGGAGGGTGACCCGGAGGAGGTGGGCGAGGTCCCGCACGCGCAGGGTGGTATCTTGAGTGTCCTGGTGGTGGCACTCCTGCTCGCTGTCTAGGATAACTTCCAGAATATCCTGACAAGTAAGGGTCTTGTGGAGTGTTGTGAAGGTTGTTAGGTGACATCTGATAAGTTGGTGTAGCATATGCACTTGCAGCAGGGCTCTGTGATGGAGTTCTTGTGGCTGGTCTCGGACTTTGAAATTGATATCGTTGATGAACTTGAGGCACCGTTGTGGATTGTTCAGGGGCTGGAGCTTGCCCATTGAACTCTGTATAGGGAGGTGGTGGGTCGTCAGGATCTTGGTCAAGGTTCCTCGACATGATCGAACTTGATAGTGAAATCTGTCTCCGTTAGCTCTACCACAGACCAGTGCTATAAAGGAAACACAAATTGCTGTATCTGCGATGAACAGCTGAAGAACATGACTGTGTTTACGGCATTGTGTTTACTTCGATCACAACACATCATGCCCACGCAGGATGTGTGATCAAATCATGACATTGGTAGAATTGTAACCAAACTTATTTTAAACAAGAGTCAGCCTACAAATATGTTTGTACTTTTAATGTGACTGTGTTCAACTGTCTTGCTGAAAATGTCTTTGGTCAAAGACTTAAAAAAGTTTCCAGATGGATGAGCAAGCGTATTCAAGTGCAACACGATCTCTTTGTTAATACTTAAACCTTCAGGAAAGTATTTCAACACTTTGTAAGCATCAAAACATAAATATTTTATTTATAATGCGGTTGATGTTACGACAGAATGAAGACCAGATCAATGAGATAGTGAAATATTTGCGCACCATTGTGGAATTTCAACCGTTTCAAATAATTGAAAGGATACGAGTATGTGGTTGTAGTTGTACGTATGTGGTTGTCTTGCTGGTGCGATTATTAATTATTATTCAATAGGATATTATATTCTCCGATGTCTAAATACAGGGTGTACCGCATAAAGTGTGACTTTTATTCTACTTTAATAGTTTTTGACAAAATTAAACTTCACGTTATTTTTAACTAAATTTTAACTAAACTAATAAAAACGTTTTAAAGACCTTCCTCAAAATTCTGCCCGGACAATCTCTTTTAAATGATCCCTAAATATATTTTGAAAGTTTCAGGGTGATAGATCAAAAACAATTGGAGAAAAAAGATTTTTAGACTCGATTTTCACTACGCGAGATAAACTCGATTTTCACTACGCGCGATAGAGAGTTACTCTTTTCTATCAAAAACAACTAAAATGTCGATTTCGAAAATTTTTTGTTGAGACCCCTTAATTACAGCAAGCTTAAGTTCCTGAGAGTGAGGTAGCACCATAATATTATTTAAGATGCGTACCAATGCATTGTGATTGAAACTTAGTATATCTATATGAAGTGATTTATCAGTAATGAGATTATTATTGGAAGTATAGATAAAATACACAGGTTCGTACGCTAAACAATTATATACCTTTTTCTGATTGGTTAACGTTTAAAGCGAACAATCTTAATTATATAAACAGCCTATCTGTGGCAAGTTCAAAATCAATGTTATTATGTTAATATCCTATAATTAGGACTACGTACTCAGTACTGGCACTGCCTAAAACAGATAACCGAATCATTTCCTACTTATGTTGATGAGTTTTGCGCTCAACGTTTGAGTCCCAGAATACAGTGTAGTTTTTAAGAAGTTTCGCGGTGATGAATTTTAGAGGAGCTCCATTAAAAGGGTGGCCGAATATGAGGCCGACAAAGCTTAATAAAGAAACTGATATGACGCATGAATACGGGAGAAGAAGATCCAGCTGCCTTGCCTGTGTTGAAAAGGCCCGGAGTGATAGAGCCCGGAGATCGAGTCGAGCATCTAAAGCAGCATCAAGACAAAGTTCCCAGCAGTCGGACACTCTCTCTGCTTCGTTTGGTTTGTCACATTTCATGTATTTTTATCTTTCAAATTAAATTATCTGCCCTACTCCTGAGAGTGAGTAAACAAAAAAACTGGCCTAGCTCTGTCACTTTTTTGCAGAAGGCCAGCAGTCGCCACTTATCGAGGTGACAGCCAGTCCCCTTAGCGACAGCCATGAAGTGGCAGCATTTAGCCATCTTTCACGTAGACGACACTGCTTTTAGCATGAGCTGACACGAAGGAAGATGATTAATCACTCTACACTCAACTGTCACGTGACTTTTTTAACCCGTTCTCTAGGTGGCCCTGAATGGCTATTCGAAACCTTTACCCTCTAACCTGATCCCAACCCTAACCCTAACCAAGTCTCTATCAAAAGCATATGCTGAAACCTTAACCCTAACGAGAAATGAGACCAACTTCCTAATATGGTCATGTCACGTGATCGAGACAGTTTTTCGCCAATATCTCGTCAGGGCCCAGGGAAGCATTTTAACCTTATGTCATGGCGGTGATTCGGATTCAGCATCCGAAAATATATCGATTCGTGGAGGTTTCGACTGTCGGGGGCTCTTTCAGAAAAATCTCGAAGATCGAGTGTAAAGTGATTTAGCACGCTCGGGTGAATAATAACGGATGGTCTTACCAATTTAGCTAATATAATTCCTTTGTGGTGATTGGATATCGATTAATGATATCTATATTAATGTAATAATATTAATATAATAATATTATTATATTAATATTATTATATTAATATTATTACATTAATATAAATATCATTAATCGATAATGTTAATTAATAATATTAATAATATTAATTAATATTAATATTAATATAATTCATTAGTAATATATTTTTGGTGTTCAGTAATGTTTTAAAATGTTTAGTAAATTTTGTTTTCGTAATTATATTTATTCAGGACGTTACAGAAGGAATTAATTTGATGTAGTTTGAGGAGTCCTCACTCTCCTAATGTCCAACAATCCCAATAATTCTCTTGTTGCTAATATGCATCACATTCATACATTAGGCATTGTGAATTCATCTTTCAGTTTCATTAGTATTTGAGTAGGTACTGTTGACTAACAATGTCATTTGCCAATCCTTCGCAAATTGCAACTGTTCTTATGCTCCCGAAAAACATGAACTCAATGTCATAAATTGGACCGCGTACTCAGTACTGCCTAGAAAATAGAACCTTATCATGTTTACTTACTTACGTACATTGATTAGTTTTGCGCTCAACGTTTGAGTCCCAGAATATAAATGCTCTTTTTAATTAGAAGTTGTGTGGTAATGAACTTTAGAGGAGCTTCATGGAAAGAGTGGCAGGATATGAAGACAACGATTAGTAGAAAAACTGACATGCTGAAGTTGAATCTACCCACCAATGAACAGGCGAGAAGACGATCCAGCTGCTGGAGTGATAAGGTCCGGAATGATAAGGCCCGGAGATCAAGTCGAGTAGGATCTTATAAACCAGCTAAACCAGCATCAAGACAAAGTTCCCAGCAGTCGGACACTCTCTCTGCTTCGTTTGGTTTGTCACATTTCGTGTATTTTTACCTTTCAAATTAAATTATCTGCCCTTCTCCTAAGTAAACAGAAAATGTTTGGCGATTTATCAATTTTATTTGCATTCTTTTTTAATCTTTTGCTCATGTGTTTAAACTGCGTTTGAAGGCCGGCTACGACTCATAGTCTTACAGGATCATTAATTCAACGACACTGGTTTGACATAAAACATTCATATTTCTTGCAGTGGCGGTCATGCCATCTACAAGATTATGATACAGTGATACATTAGCATGAATGATAATTGATAATCTATCAGATTTCTTCAAACATTTGTATAGTAAAGACTGCTACTGTTGGTTCGTTATGCACACTCCAGCCTATAATGTTAGTTAAATACCATGTATGTCTTTGATCACACGCATGTTCTGATTTATTTACGTTAGCTGGTGACTCAGATAAACCATGCCTGATTTACCGATTAATGCTGAGTTTAATAGTTTAACCAACATATCAAGCCATACAATCAAACTATTGTAGAAATAAGCCTACCCAACACTAATGAATTTGTTCTACAATTACCTGACACGGCAGTGATTCTTGCAATGCTTATAACGGAGTTTGGTCAGTCCGGAAGATTGCAGCCCTTTCCAGGATTTTACGACGATTAAGAAGATGTTTGGATCGGCTAGGCCGGTTCCTGCCCCAACCCGCTCCATCAGAACCATCAGTTCTGTTATCAGCTCCCTACGTATGATCATTTTTCGGTTCTTTTGCGATAGTGTAAACGCGATAAGCTATAATTTTCGCCGATAGCTAGCCGGCTAGCGCTAGATGGCGCGATCAAGCGCCATCTAGCGCCAACTATCGTCAGTTATCGCGTTTACACTATCGCAAAAGAACCCATTACATTTTTCCTAAATTTTCGGTCTTTTACTAAATATTTGTTGGAAAGATAGTATACAATTATTGTGTTGCTTTCATGCTGACCACTTTTGCTGTTCACAGTTTGTACAAGGTTTATTCAATTCACGATCAGACATGGGAAACAAAAACTCCTGATTTTTTTTCTTTTCTTTTTTCTTCTCTTTTTTAAAGATGCAACCTGGCAAAACTAATGGTGCCCTGGCCCCTGGTGTGAGACTGAGAGGAGTCCCGAATTTGCCACTGCCTATTTTGCAGAAGCCAGCAGTCTCCACTTATCGAGGTGACAGCCAGCCACCTTCGTGACATGCACGGAGATTGGTATAGCCTTCGGCCACCTCCCACGTGGACGACACAGCTTTGGGCATGCGCCGAAGCAACATAATAGATAAGATGTAGCAAATAATATGGGAGTTTTCTCTAACTCTAAGCTAATGAAAATGTTGTTTCCCTTCATTTCTGGCTCTTAAAAAGCAAACTCGCTGAAACTTCCGCTAATCACACGCTCGACAACAACCTTAATACGTTAACGTGACTTTCTGAGTTAAAATATTAGTCTCCTGGAATCAAACGTGATTTAATTTTACGATGAAATTGGACTCTTTGGTGGTAATCATTGAATAACGGATAATTTATTTTACCAATTTAGCTGATACAATTACAATTCCTTTGTGATGATTGGATATCGCGATAATGATATTAATATAATAATATTAATATGATTCATATGCATCATATTCATAAATGAGGCATTGTGAACTCATCTTTTTATTATTATTTCAATTTGAGTAGGTACTGTTGACTAACAATGTCATTTGCCAGTGCTTCGCAACTATCATCTAGTCTTAAGCTTACATTAACCATGAAGTCATGCGCCAAGCGCATTGGTAAGTGCCTAAACAGAATTGCGAAAAGAGCAATTTTTAAACATAATGCTTTTATAACACCGTGGTTATTATGAAAAGATAATAATGAAGGTATAGTGATTGTTTTATGCTTTTGAACGAACATGATTGGAAGTTGGCACTATGCCGCAAGAGTGCCGCTATAATGCCGCGACAGTGTCACAATAGTGCCACGACAGTGCCATTAAAGTGCCACGAGAGTGCTGCGACAGTGCCTTCGCGATCCGGATGTATGACCATAATTGGTTTGCAATTTTTTGTGCGAAATTTTCGGATTGTAAACAGATCTTTTTGTAAATATAATTTCGCCTGTCGATTGTTTCCCACCTAAAATTTATTGATATTTGATATTTGAGCATCGCTTAGCACGTGACTTATTTTGATCATTGAATGAAATATTAAATGATTATTGTATTGAAAGTGATCGAGATGTGCCCCAGGTGTGCCCTAGGTGTGCCCCAGGTGGTTCTGCGGTCTGCCCGAGGTGCCCCAGGTGTGCCCGAGTTTGTGCCCGAGGTGTGCCTGAGGTGTGCCCCAGATGTGCATCGGGGTGTGCCCCAGATGTGCATCGGCAGATTACCGAGTTACCGAGATTTATTAGCAGAGTCTCTATCATTAACGAGCAAGTTGTGGAGAAGAATGCATACTGACACCAAAACGCATAGCAGAGTATTTTCATATCTGAATGTGTTATTATTTAGTGGTATTGGTTGCGCGTGCGCGCACGTGCTGCGACTATAGACTAGCTGACCCCAGATTGCAATTATCAGACGTACCTAGAGAAGTTTCAAACTGTGAACAAACCTCGATTCAGCCAAAGTTACTGTCATCAACACGTCAGAAATAGAAAATATTGATTTTAAAAATTTGAATAGACATTATTTCAGGTGGCCTCGTATACGTAATTGAAAAATTCACGAAAAAAATTTAACACATGTGTTAAATTTTTTTCGTTTGTATACAGAACATACTGTTTTGAAACAGAATTCCCACGTGTTTCGGGAAGCAGAGTTTCAATTCCAGGGCTGAAATTATAGTGGCACGACAAGGTTTCGAGAACAAAACTGGTTTTTGGCAATTGTTATCCTTTTGTAGGCAAAACATATCTACTTTTTGAAAATTGCAAACGACCAATTACCGAAACATACTTTTTGGTAATTGGTCTTTTTGAGCTCTTTGTCGAGAAATGAAACGCAGAACTTTACAATCCTGACATGATGCTTAGGTTCAGATAATATTTTAAAACTATTGATACTTGAGTATTTATATCCAAATATCACCTTCAGCGGAGGTTAAACGAATACAGAATCTCGCTGCAAAAAAGAGAAATGAAGCTGTAGAGTTGCGCGTACTAGAGTCCGGCGACGAGCTACCTTCACCCTCTCGTCACTACACTCTTGCTGAATTAGCGTAAGTTATATAAATAAATCAATTGCATTGATCGTGGTAATTTAATTTAATTATTCCTTAATTTGAGATAATTTGTCGCTTATTATTATATTTATAGTTAATTCAACTTGCGCTAATACAATCTATTCCATTTGTCGTATCAAGAACTCAAATATAAATTGTGTTCATTTTATTGTGCTGTTTCATAGGAACAGATGAAAAATAAGAGATATTTTTAAAACCGTCCAAAATATTCATTGCACTCAGCTTCGCAGTACCAAACTGTTATGATAAAGTTTTAAAATTCATATATCAATAAGTATTCATAGTTATCTGTAACATAATTCCATTTAATTCCATTTATAAATGCATTGAACTTGTGGACGAACGACAGCAACATGACATGTGACTGAGGATATTTATGTCGCCAATTGATGTTTTTTTGTTACTGCGGTCGATTGAATTTGATGAAAGATAGCTGCAATTCAAGTTAACAGAAATACTTCTCTTACGTATTAAAACGGTATAATCTTTTGATATCTTCTTCGCCTTTTTTAGGACTTCAAATAATCTCTTCTTAACTATTGCTCAGTGGTCTGAGTGCACTGTCCCAAGCAAATTTCAGATATATTTATTATTTGTTTAACCGGAAACAAGAGCCATGAGTCATCGTGTCGGGTTAAGTTAATTACTATTGAAAACAGATTTTTCAAACTTTAAAAACTCAGATAATAGACAATATACGTCATAATCACATTCAACGTGATAAACTTCATGGACGAACAACTTCTAAACCATATTGTTATAACCATACCCACCATTGCACCCCAAGTTAGCACATAACCATCAGAGAAATAACAGAGAACTGGTCCAATCAGGAGGACAGCACAAAAATAAATTGTATTGCTTTATAAGGTAAGTTGAGTTCTATAAATTGCTTATGGTACGGCACAAGACAACAGTCATGGGAACATTTTCAACTCTCAAATTGTTCGATGGGAGAAGATATCTCCGTTAAGTTTAATTATTATCTGCATCCAAATCGGCTAAAGCTCGAGCGGAAAAGTACCTATAATACTGTAGAACATTAAATATGTCGTCGAGAATGAAATAGAAACATTACGGTTACCGTCAGGCTAACCAGGTGGTTTCGCCGCTGTCTTGCAAGCATTAAGCTTAACACTGCATTAACACCGCGTTAAGGTTGCGTTAGATGCAACCGGTAGCACTAACGTTCCGGGGAACTCGATAGCACTTGTTGGTAGAGCTTCAAATAGCAATTGCTTTGTTAATGTCCACCTTTGTTGAAGAAGCTTAATCGATAGTATACAATTATTGTGTTATTTACATGCTGTCTACTTTTGCTGTTTACAATTCTTACAAGGTTCATTATGATTTACCTTATCGGACCTTATTTGGACGGACATTACATGAACGGACATAATTGTGAACGGACATTAATATGAACGCTCGAAGGCATTCAAAACCATCAAAATCCGAATTTTTTTAAATTTTTGACGTTTTTTTAATTTCAGCAAATGATTTTTTAATCCATTTTTTATACAGTAAGTAAGAATAGCAGTCATTAAGCAGTAAAAAATGTTAAAATATGTGTACATGATCAGTGTCTAATATCACATATCATCTTCATTAAATAGGTTTTCGTGCATGAAATAGTCCATGCTTAAACAAGCATCAGTGATTTCTAGCTTTGTGGAAACCTTTTTTATCAAACTACCCTGGTCCTGCATTTCAGTGTTAACTTTTACAAGCCATTCGGCGCGAAGTGGTTTTATCTTAGACAGAAGAAGGTTAACCTTAACATCACGTGGAGCTTTCCTAGAACTGTTTCATTACCTCCCCTCAGTAATATGAACTATAAAAACGTCGGACAATGTCCTTGGCAACACGATTTACCGTAATATCTAGAGGCTGGAACAAGTTTGTCATGTTGGCGGGGACTAGCTCATGAACTATGTTGTTGAGTGTCATGATTTCGTTGACTTTTTCCGCCAAGTGACCCTTGAAAACATCATATACTAGTAGAGTTTTCTGTGCCTCCGGCAGACCAAGGAGAACCTTTCCGTCGTTAACTTACGGCACAATAAAGTTCTCATAGTTGTCATATTCTGGGTAAAAAGTTCGAAATGGAAAAATTTTTGAAAAAATTTCAACGGACTTTAACTTGGACGGACATTAATTGAACGGACTTTATTTGAACGGAAATTAAGATGAACGCTAGGGCCTCCAGCGTTCAAGTAATGTCCGTCCGAATAAGGTCCGATAAGGTAATCCTCAAGTTATAGACAAGAAATGTAAAAACTTCTCAACTTCTGGCTCTTAAAATCAGACTTAATTGAAACGTCCGTCAAAAACGTGACAGCCAATTTAAAAATGAGCAAATTTCTCTCACATAAACACAAAATACTATGTTTCATTGCATTAAAATTAAAATGATTTTACTAACACCTGGAACTGTTTAAATAATGAGATTTCAAACAGAAGGCAACAGACGATCTCCAATCGACCTACCACTATATAAAAGTGGTTATAAATAGATAGGCTTTCACACAATATTTGGCCTGTTTTTCTTCTTTAGTCTCATCAATTATGGCACAATTCGTCATACTCATGCTGAAAATCCAAGTCTGGTCATTTGGAAATAAAGAGTACTTTTATAGACACTGCATTTAACAATTGTCCCTTCTGGCCTATCCATCAAGGCCGTCAAAGCCTAATGAAAACAAACGATTCGCAATGTGAGGACAACGCAAATGGCTAGACGTCAATTATACCCAAGAATTGCGGGTATGATCTTAATGTTTAGAAGCAGATAATTTGGCTCTCCGATGTTCACGTATTCTTAGTTTTAATTTGCCTTTGTGAGGTCCATACCAAAATATGATTAAACAATTAAATCCGCAAGATTGCCGGGTCATAAATCAATTATACTTTCTATTCTAATTGCAGCGTGTAAATCGAAAAAACTTGTTTTTCCGTGATAATTGTTGGATAGATAATATTATAAAATTCGTACGTTTATTTCATACCCGAACTCGATTTATTCAATGCTCTTGTAGCCAAGTTATTTTGTTTTTATTGACTGAAATGTTTGTTCGATGTTCTGTTTCCGTACGATAAATAATGATCTGCAATAGACCACCCTCTTTAAATCAATTATTGGTCATTTAATTTCGTTCGTATGTGACAAAGTGAACTTTTTGTGCCTTTTGTGTTTTTATTTACTTATAACAATGGGATATGTCAACAATTCATAATACATTCAGGTCATAAAATAATGCAAGACTATTCGGCATTCCTTGTCAGGGTGTGTCCTAACTATTCCTCATACATTTTTTTTATTGAAAATCTTTTCAAAATAGTACATACATCAATGTAATTGCATGAAAATAACACGGTCAAAAAGTGATTTCTATGTACTATAATGACGGGAAACCAGAACGTAGTTCGTGCAAAAATTACACCTACAAAATATGGTCCCTGACAAAACATTTCATACAATCAACACATATAAATGTAAGATATATAGCAATAGAGATGATTGTGCAATAATAAAATACAGCGTGCATAAAATATCATAATGTTAATAATTTGTTAACTTTTTAATGAAATAGATTATATCATACAATACTTTTAAAAACCCAACCCACAACCCAACCCACCCCTAACCCCTTAAATAGTTTGGATCGGTTATTTTAGATTAGAGAATTGGCATTGGGAGAAATGAGATGCATCTAATCATTATCAGACAGGTAGAATTCAGCGTGACTATCGTTTGGATCTGTGGGTAGCATTTCCGACCATAGGTGATCCTTAAGTTTGGCCTTGAAGATATCAGGACAGCTATGGTCTCTTATTTCGAGAGGAAGTTTATTCCAGAGCAGATGTGTCCGATAAAAGAATGATTTCTTAAGGAGACTGCTATTACACTGTGTTTGAACAAGAGTCGTTACATAACTTAGGCTGTCATGGTGACATGATCTTAAGCGTGTGCTTCCTTTGTATAGTTGTAAGTAATTAGGAAGCTCTTGTGTGCATACACCATTGACTATTTTGTGAAACAAGGTCAGGTCATTCAATTCAAACCTCTTGCTGAGAGGAAGGATTTTCAATTGATGACATTTGTAAGTATAGTTTTCAAAGGACTGATAGCTTGTGAATTCCTCATCAAAAATCCACTTAATACACCTTTTTTGAAAATACATAACAGTAATAGTTTTATAGTTTTAGCCGTATAGTAAACAGTAGCTATCTTAAACTAATTATTTTTATAATCCAACATAATTGCCACTGCAATTCTACTGTAACGAGGTAAAGGCTACCATCATTTTCTGACCTATTCGTACCGTCAACCTTTTGAACTCGTTAGCCGTTAAAAAATCTTATATTTGAAAACTAGACGTCTGACCTCCACTTCCCTTAACACCTAGCTGAAGTATTAACTAGTTAATTGACCCTGCCTGCTTGACACCAAGTCGGCAGCGAACAGTTATCATAATAAAGTTATAACAATAAAAATACACTTCAGGAGGATGTTTCCACACTTTTTCAGTCTCGCACATCTTGACAATTGGTGCTATTATTATCGAATATTAAACTGTAATTATAATTATGTCGCATGTAATTGCGATACTGCTGACCAATCCTGTGGGGATATTCTTAGTTTTAGAAAAGTAATCTCGCCACGGCTTCCTCTTAATGAATTATCTGTGATTAAGTTCGAGCAATTTGTAATGTGTGCAATCCTCCGATTCATTCTCTTGCAGCCGTAATTCTTCATATTTAAGATCACGGACTTTTGAGAGAAAGAATTCAACAAAATCCTGTTTCATTAATTCTTGTTTTTACATTAGATTCGATGATGTTTACTTTCATCTGCATGCGTACATAACTGTGTTGAATAATAATCGAGTCTTTTCGTTATTGATCGGAGTTTGAGATCATTTAGTCAACGGATATATATTCTTGAAGCACCTGGCAGTTGACAATGATGCTGTAAG